CCTGCTCTATGATGGTATTCATATGAAAAAACAACTGGCACCAAGACTAGTTCCACTGATCACACATGGATTTATTTAAAAAACCGTTTCCAGAATGTTCATCAGTGAGACTATTGTTATCAGCAGTGAAACATTATGCCAGTATGAGTGGAAGTACGAAGGTAGCTCGCAGAAGAGTTCACTATGAAACAAGGTTCGATTTGAAGCTTCAGCCTGTCGTCTGTAGATCTGTATTTTGTCGGTATGTCGGATTTTCTCTTATAAACTGACCTATCATCAGCATCCTGTTTAGTACCGGTAGGCTAGTTTTTATCGGTAGACCGATCAGATCAACTTTTCTCGGTAAATCTGTTTCGGTCGGTAGACCGGTTCCGTCTCTGCCTCAAAGATTTATGACCGAAGTTCATAAACGTTTATGTACGGGAGATCGTAATAGAAAAACAAGAAAATCGGAATGATGTGAGTGGGTGGTCGGAACCGAATGCTTCTTGCTATATCTGATGTAGTGATCGAAAATCGTAATGAACAAGGTCGGATATTCGGAATGTATGTCTAATGATATTGTTAGAGAAAAAGATCGGAAGAATAGAATGACATTGGCAGGAAGTTCGTAAAAGAATTTACTGGGAGAGCGTAACGGATGTAAAGACTTTTCCTCCTGTTTTTATAGACAAGAATGACTGTAAGAAAAGAGTGTCACTTCGCAATCTCACAAAGATGAGTGAATCTCAACGTAGTTACGAACTTCCTGCCGCTTTCATTCCAAACACCCTGTCTTTGTCATTACGAACTCCCAGACTTTGTCATTCCGATCTCCAGCCAAAATTTCGCTGTTCAACCATTAACAATGAGTTGTCTAAGTTCGTCACGAACTCCTGGACAAATTTCATTCCGAGCATCCTATTTTTTTGTTATATTTCATTCAATTTTGCGATTGAGAACTCCATTTCGAACACTCTGTCTTTTTTTCTGATGTCTGGAGATAGTAACGGATCATTTCAATCGTAGTTCGTGATGAAAAAGTGAGACGAAAAGTCACTTCCTCTCATATTTTCACTATTGATATATGCCATGAAGGTTCTACCTTGAAAACAAATGAGTTCTATAAGTTGATCGAGAGTTCTTCTGTCTGGCAGAGCTTGAAGATTTATATCTACAGTAAAAGAAACTACGTACAATACAGGGTTTTTTACGAAGATATGGGGAGCACTAGTTCAACTGGAAATTTCCATGACTAATTAGAAACAAAAAACATTGAAAATTCGCTAAACTTTGTGGGCTTCGCTTGTTTACTAAAGTATGAGCGAAAATTAATTCTGATTATATATTCTTGCGGTTTTGGGGTGTGAGTGTGGGTTCGTGGATAGATGGAAGACCCACATACACGCCTACACCCACATCCCGCACCCTGAATTTCGGTGACTTCGAACAACGAGTCATTATCGAACATGAAAGATTGATCACCAATCAAGAAAAGATTAGTAGAACCCTAAAGAAATCATATCGGAATCAAATTGTTGAAATTTGTACCTATTCTGATAGCTGAATATCACCCTATATCGATCAGAATCAGACTATCGGATACGTTAGCGATTTCTTCACCTTGAATCCCATCAGATTCTGCTGGCTGTTAGATTATCCAGAATTTCGATTAGATTCATCCACCTAGGACGCTGATAAGCTTTCTTCGAAGTGTCTCTCAAGTCGTTTACATTGTATATGTTTGTTTGTTCTATAGACAGGTATGATCAGCAATAAGTATACTACACGCATGACTCCATCATGTCGTCAAGATTTGTGTGAACTAGCATTGGAGTCTTTTGTTGATCATCGAAAATCAGAATCCGCGCAGGGTATGTGGATTTCTGTTCATTTCAAATTATGCGCTCAAGTTTTTCTTGCAGACAATACCACAATCGAAAACATTTTAGAATCTCCAGACGAAAGTAATCGTGTTATGATAGCGTGGCTTACTACAATATCAACTAAATTGGCTTTCAAATCACGTACAAACGTTATTCATTTTACCGACGAATGCTTGTGCATCTCGCAGCTATTGTCTACTACTAGCAAGGCTATTTATTTCGTCACCAGTGCATCCCATGGCAAATACGTTGTTCCACTAATTCATAATTATTGCTGCATTGAACAAATTTATATCTATACATTGAACAATGAGCCAAAGCCAGAATGGCTCAGTAGCTATTCCAAAATTCGAGGCTTTTGGAGCACTATACCGGATGTCGAAAGTCAAATAAATTTAGACATCACTTCAAACCAAAAGCAGCATGCATTTCGGCCGATGTCCTGGCACCAGCTATTTTCCAAAATATGCTCACAAAATCCAAATGAAACATCCTCCGAAATTCTTTTGAAAGGACAAACATCTGAGAATAACATGGAAACTATAATTGTAGCAATTTTACAATGTAAAGATTTGGTATTGTCACAGATGCAATCTGAAAATATTTTGTTTAAAAAATTCAACAACGTACATGAGTGTGCTAGGTTTCTTTCAGAAGAAAACAGATCTGTATTTCTCATCGTTTCTGGTACAGTCATTTCTTCTGTTGATTTCTATCATTTCTTTCGATTCGAAAGCCTTCAAGCGTTATATATATGGTCAAAATCTTGTACAACAGCTAAATTTCTGACGCGGCACTCGAAAATACATGGTATATATGCTGAAGATGAAGAGCTTTTATTATGTTTGAATACTGATATATGCTTTTACCGGCAAACGAAACGGCAAACCATTTCTTTCGCTATTTTTGAATCTGTTGATATGCGCGCACTGATTTTACCTCAACTCGACAAGCAACATCAAAATTTTCTCAGTATTTATTTTTTGTCTAAAGTTTTGTCTCAAATGCCTCAGTTAACAAGCGACTTAGTTTGTGATGAAAAGGATTCGATGAAAAAAATCAAGCATTTTTCGCGTTTCATTAATGGGTGGGACATCCCAGCGCTATTATCCGATCTACTGAGAATTGAGAAGCGCACTTCGAATTTACACAAAGAACAATATGCATCTCCGCAAATTGTCTATCACGGAGATTTTATATCACTTGCGGATATTTCTGTCCTTCGAAAAAATTGTAATCAATTATTTTGTGCCAGATCCTGTCTTTTGGTAACAAAAGATCTAATACATGCTCGAACTGTATCTAGACATGCTATGGCTGCTGGTTTGAATGGAATTCTATTTGAAATTGAGATTACGCAAAGGGCAAAGATTTTTGATTTTCCTGATGATAAATGCTTTTTGTTTCCGTTCGGAAGCATATTTCGCATTTGCTCTGTTGCACAAGCTGCCGATGGAGTATGGCAAGTTAAGTTAACCTTCTCAGTGGACCAAGAGTTGGATTTTGTGAAAGAACAGCTGGAATACGAAGTAAATGAGTCACTTAACTGGCTCACATATGGTCATTTTCTGCGCAATCTAAAACTTGTAGACGAAGCGAAGAAATATTACAATTGCTGGTTGCTCATTCTTGATCCTGATCATCCTGCTAGAGCTTCTGTTCACTATCACCTTGCCATAGAACATGCAGGCTTGGATGAAGATTTAGAAGTGCTCGAACATATGAATAAGATCCTACGAATTGCTCAACCAATCTTCAAGGAAGTAGGGGTTAACGCTCAGGAGCCTGCGACTAGTGAGGAACGTCGTAGCCCGATTTCTGTCGATCGAGGTACAATACTGGGCAACATTGCCGATATTCATTACATAAGAAAAGAACATGACGAAGCTCTTGAATTTTACGAGCAGGCTCTTGAAACAACTACTGATCAAAGACATTGTCGACATTTTCGAAAAAGACTCTACATGTTAAAAACTATGCTAAGACCCTCTTTGTTTAATAATTGTGTTTGAAACTTGATAAAAGATACTCTCGCTCTTTCATAACAGATTTCTTTGTTTTAGATGCATTAGACGGTCATAAATTTCGATTTGTAGTGTTTGGAAAGTAACAATTAATAGCTCATTTTTTATTAAAAATTTCAAAACTTATGAAAATCATATGGCATCGGTACATCGAGCGCAAAAACCCAAGCTCAGTCAGAGCTTTATTGGACTATGGTTCCATGATATGAATTTTCCATCCATTGACATTCATGAAGCCATGATGGCACGTTTAAATTCGACATTCGACTACATTCGAGAGTTTGATGATGTGCAGTCATTCACTTCATACTTAAGAGAAGACGAACTTATTGCCAAAGTGATTGTTATTATATCTTCGGTGCTGCTCGAACCTCATTTGAACGATCTAGTAGTGAAACGAGCAGAAAAACAACCTGAGAAATTCAGAGGTCCATACTGTCTTCCTTTCAAACAGCAGACATTAATAGAAATCGATAATTTGTTCTTAAAAATTCGATCTGAGATTGGAGACGATACATGGTGTCTACAGTCATCGAAATCAGATATTATGACCAGTCTAGGACCTGATTCTTTTAGGCCTACTGAACTACTTCCTCCTCTAGGTGTTTTTAACTCTCCGCTAAAACAGATTTCTATTCGTCACTGGTCGAACGAATCTCTAAAATTCATTCAGTTCCAGGCACTGATTGAAATTCTTCTTCGTATGCAACATGACGAAAAACGAGCCAAAGACGAAATGCTATCAGATTGTCGCGTATATTACCAAAACGATATTGCTGAACTGATTAAGATTAACAACTTCAAAGAGAAGTATTATGCTGCTGATGTTGTTTTATACTACAAGAAAGACTGTTTCTGTTTTCGAATGGTAAATATGGCCTTCCGTAGTGAAGAAATCGAACGCATATATACATACCGACTGTTCATTACTGATCTTCACAAGGAAATTGACAGAAGAGCTTCTACTAAACGTGAAGTTGTTGAGAACCTGGTTCTCTATCGGGGTAAGAAACTACTATATACTATACTACAGCTATTAAAAGACCATTTGCATAAGCAAATTTCCATGAACGGCTTTCTTTCGACTACGAAAAACGAAGAAGTAGCTAAAATGTTTTCCGGTGATAATGAACCACGTGACAACTACGCAAGTATTATATTTGAACTTCATATACAGAAGCCCCTAAATTACACTGGAAAACCATTTATCGATATTTCGGATGACGGAAACCTCATGAGTAACGAAGAAGAAGTTCTTTTTTCAGCTGGTTCACTGTGGTCCATCGAAGATGTTCGACGAGTAGAACACTTGTGGTATGTACAACTTAGGAATTGTACTGATCGGGATACTGCATTAGACGCAGTTTTGGCTCGTCTAACAAATGGATATACACTTATGTCTATTGGTGACTTATTACGCGAGCTAGGTGAGAATGACAAAGCCGAAGACTTTTATCGTCACATAGCAGAGGATGAGTCGAATATTCCAGATGATCAAAAGGGCTTTCTGAACTATCATATTGGCATGTTAAGAGCCAAGAAGAAAGACTACAATGGAGCATTGGACTCTTTGAATAAAGCCATAACTTATTTTCCTCCACCCACTGGCGCCTAGGTAAGAGATTCCTCTTTGAAACTATCAATAACGAATGCAAGTGTCGCAAATCGAACCACTCTCTATCTCGATATCGGTAAGATTTATTATCGGAACAAGAACAGTAGAAAAGCTGAAGAAGCTTGGCAGAATGCAATAGCACAAGGTGGAGCGTTTGATGATCTAGCCAAAATGTATGATTGTTTAGCATGTCTGGCTAACGATCATGGTGAATATGAACAAGCCAAAGAATATCGTCGCAAAGCAATGGAATTAATTAATCAATGTATTGGAAAAGAGGAAATGAAATGTGAACTCAAACGTAAGTGGGATGATGCCATACAGCTATGTGCTCAAATGGATGACAGGCTGAAATCGAAACGGCAGCGTACTACCAGTGGCAGTAAAGTACCTACTTGACTCATCAATAATGTGTCACCTTATCTAGCTTAGCTTGTTTTTCTTTATACTTCTATTGATTTCGTAAAATTCGTTGATGAGGATTACATTTAAGAATGCAGTTCACGTAAATCTTGAGGGTTGTGTGTGTAGATGTGAGTATTCATTACTGGCATTCTCACATTCTCACCCACACACCGCATCGCACATCCTTAAAGGGTTTGATTTGGTTGCAAAAATTGGAACTGTTTTTTGGGTTTCGCATGGTACCTTGTCTTATCAGCCTGGTTCTAATTAAGTCAAATACAGTTAGTGTCTCCTCTATCAAACATAAATTTTGAAAAATCAGAAATAAACTTCCTAAGTTGCTTACAAAAACATGCAAACGTTCATGTTCGTCGAACTATAAGCTTCGAAAAGAGAGATTCTGATTTGCTTACTGGGACGATGTTGAATATCGCAACAACAGAGATGCTTTATTACGAACTTCTTTACTGCTGAAACTGTTCAATAGTCACATTACAGAATACACCAAAAAAGAAGGAAAAATTCGACAAATTTCAGTTAATATAGCTGAGTTTTCCACAAAAATGTTCCTTACTTGTAATGAAATATTACGCTTTCGGTTCATTTGTCGTGTAAAATCAGATACTTACTTGGATAAAATATTTCCGTAAAAACGTTTTCTAGATCTACTTGATTGAGATACTGCTATCATTAGCGCTCGGCAGCAACAAAAAGTATTGGTGTTCGTGCGAAAATGTGATGCGTCAGTCAAATCTATGAAGCATGATCTTACGGTATGCTTTCGCTTTCCGAACGCTTCCGCTATTTTTCCGAAGAAATGTAAGTCCCACGACTTCGCCATTTACGGATGTAGGTGTGCATATGTTTGTGAATGCAGTTCAGGAAATGAGTACATAGGCATAGCACACATTTACATCCGCCACGACTCCACTAGGTTTCTATTCCATGCAGTTTATTTGAAAGAAAGAATAAAAAAATGAACCATTGTTTTAAGTCTATTTGATGGAAAATCGTTGAACTCGACTATTATCCCAATCAACTACATAGAGGTTGCCATGTCGATCGAAGGACAAATCCACGGGATATTGAAGTTGATTTGGTTGTTTTCCTTCGCCATTGCCACCCGCAATAATATTACCTTGTTTCGCTCCTTTAGGCCAACTCACGACTCGACTATTCCACGTATCGGCCACATAAACAGTACCCAAAGCATCGACGACAAGACCGATAGGAGTGAACAATTGTGTCAAAGCACTACCTTGCCCTTGACCCCCAGCAACGACAATTCCTGCTGTTGCACCTTTATTCCATTTCATTACACGATGATTTCTGTTATCTGATATGTAGACAGCCTGTTGTTGATCGACAAAGATTTTGATCGGCTCATCGAATTGATTAAGGCCATCACCTGCACCATGACCACCGGCAACGAGAGTTCCATTCTTTTCTCCTATTTTATATCGTCTTACTGCATTTTGTGCGATGTCAGTGACATAGAGATATTTTTGATCATCCATAGCTAATCCATAACAAAAGATTTTGTCGATGAGAACTTTTCCTTTACTTGTTCCACTACGACGAGACCATTGCATAACTCGTTCATTGCCACGATCGCAGATGATGAGACTTTTCGTATCTTTGTCAAACAAGACATCGCTTGGATATTTCAATTGGTTCAATCGATTTCCTTGACCATTACCACCAGCAATCACTCTCCCGTTTGTATCATTCTTCTTCCACTCGACAATACGATGATTCCAATTATCAGTAATGATTACCGTTTCATCCTCATCAACGAACAAACCGAGAGGTTGTGAGAGTTGGTTGGTATCATGGCCTTCTCCATTACCTCCGGCAACGGTCACTCCATTCTGTGCCCATCGTGCGTTAACTGGAATATTTGGAATCACTAAAAATGAAGCAAAAAAGTGAAAGAGTGTAGATGTAGGGTTTGAATGTGTTGATGAGAACAAGAATTCCTTCCTCTACAACAATCCTAGTCCATCAGGTTCTCACAGATTGGACTCTCTCTCTCATATCTCAAATGTATCAAGTGGCTCCTTTGTGTAAGCACATGTTAATGAATAGCCTTCTTTATTATTTGGTGTCTAGGTACATTTTGCAAAGTAGTATGGTATAATATGGTCACACTACCGACTGAGTTCTTTAACCTACGAACCGTACCATCAAGGACTATCAATCAATTATGTTTTCACTAGAAAACTATAATCACAGTCTAAACATCAAAGGAATTGTTTAACAGACATTAAGAAAAAAAAGTACTATGTAACGAAGAAATAAGTGTGATAATGTTTTGTATTCTTTAAGTGGCTTGTTGCATGCCTTACTTGTTGGGTGCTGTAAGACTGGGCGTATTTCTTTCGTGGCCATCGGTGATGGATTGCAGATAGGAATATTATGGCAATATGGATGATTTAAAGAAGTACGAGTAGCTCGATAACATGTATCAGACTGGATTGAGCACGCTACTAGCTGAGAACAAGAGATATTGAGCAACAAGCAAATACCAAGACTGAAAAAAAATATAAAGTTCGACAAGTTGCAAGCTTGACTTGCTGAGCACAAATCATATTGAGAAGATATGCATGCATTGCAGCCGGTTCTAATTCTTATATTATTTTGGGGTTTTTAAAAAACTTATTCATTCCAACTCTGACGGATAAATCTGTTTTTCAGTTTTCAACACTCTTATAGTAGAGCAATTGAAATCAGAATAAATCGTCAGGCCTAGAAAGAATCAAAATGATTTTAACAATCTGGAACCGCTGCAATGCATGGATACATAATAACATGTTCGTGATTGACAATAGCTTGCTGACAGATAAAATTAGTTCTTTAAAATGTCTACAAGTTTCTACAATAATATCAGAGATGGTGAAAACAAAAATTATCAAAAAATATTGCATGAATCTAAGACAAAGATCCCTTGGTTACCTAATAAGAAGAAACATGAAGCGATGTATTGCCATCGTTTTTTTGATGTGATAATAAGCTTTGAAAGCAAATAATTACTAACGATATTCAATTCAACCCATATGTTCTCTTTCTCACTTAATACGCACGACATTCCACTGCTAGAGTATTAGCAGCAGCTGCATTCAAGGTTTCGTAGCTTGGAGACAATATTAGCTCTCTTCACTTGCCTATTAGAGAAAGTCATTTTATTGTTGTTTCATCGTTAAGAGGAAGGCATCGTGTAATGAGTATTTGATGAAAAAACTAAGCAAAGAATCAAAATATCTTAGTAAGTATGTGGATATCGGCGACTCTATGAGTCGATCGTGTTCGACTCTTGTGTGAGATTACAACGAAGACGGTATATTTTGCTTTAGCTATGCTTGTTATGAAAATGGTTGAATGTTGTTATCAGTCTGACTTTGACTGTGAGTGTTGAAGACGTGAACTGATATAGTCTCCATGTATCTTGTGGACGTATACATGAGTAAGATTCTTCTACTATTCATAGCGTAACAAAGATGTAACTTAAGTGATAAAACTTTTTTTTAATATCAAATTTAAGAGTTCCTTGCTGCAATGTCAAAACATGTGTATACAACTTTCTGACTGGCTTGAATCAAAGAACAAGTCGTTTTCTATAAGATAAGACATAGAGCAGGGTATATAGGTTTTTAATTCAGGACTTTTTCTTAAAGTTTGACAACGAGGCTCACGCGTCAACGAACTTAGAATTTTTGATTTCGTTGATGGTCACTGCAGTTCATAAACTGAGGTAAAAGACAACTGTAAAGTCTCTAAACTTTCATCAAAGTCTTGTGATTGTACGTCAATTTCATCGGTTTTTTCTAAATCACTCAATTAATTACATACTTGTATCAGAAAACTCAAATTCTTTCTTTTCTATTTCCGTTGGAGGTATTTCTATGTGATGTTGTAATGAATTTTCAACTGCATATGATTGTCCTTGATCATAAGTTATAGTTAAATCTGCAAATAAAAAAATTATCGTATTATTTAACTAACATATTTGTTCGGAATTGATACTGTGCGAAGACTTATAATAATATTAACAATAGTAGATATAAAAAATGAAATCGAATTATTGATGGTCGTTGATCCAAATATGCAAGTTAACAATGCATTGCTATATAAAACATCATTATATTTTAGATTATTATTGACTTCTGCATTAGTTCGTTTCAAAAATATACCAAGTAAATAGCAAGTAGCCACATGTGGAGCTAAAAATGCTGAAACAGTTTGAATTAATTAAATAATCGAGACTTTTGATAATCTTGTAAAATCGACATTCTTTATTACCGGTCAACAATAATTACGAAATCCGCTTAAGTTTATCAGAATTTTAAGCAAGTCACAGTAGATGCATCTCTCTCTGGACGGAACATTCATTGAAAAAAAATATAGGTTCATCAATTCTTGATTGATTCACTAAGACTTGTTTTCTTGTTGTCTAAAAACTAGCTCACACGGACGCATGAACTCAAAACTCTAATTGAATTATTAGACATAAAATATCTTATTTTTATACACAGATAACCCGGTGGATGTACTTTGTCTTCTTATTAAAGCAGCTATGCAGACCATTGCATATAAGTTCTTCGTCAAAACTTTATTTCATGTGAAAAAACGAAAAGACTAAGATGCACAAAATCAAATCAGAATATGGAAAATTTAAGATTTTCTTACAACTGCTGCCAGCGTCCATAATAGTATAGTAGTGTTCGCTAGATTGATCAGTGTATGGATATAACCTTTTCGACTTTCGTGTTTGTCAGGACATGCTCGATCATGATCAATATTGGTTGCCGATTGTTCCTTGGATGATTGGGTTTGTAGTAAATTACTATTAGTAGCTTCTTGTTGCTGTTGTCTTTCAATAATTTGGGTTAATTGTTTCTGCTGTTCTACAATCTGATCTGAGAGTCGGCGAAAGTAGTTTACGTGTTCCTGTTGTATTTGCATCATCTTTACTATTTCGTCACTGTGATGAAGAAGACATTGTGTAACAGCAGCAAAATTTTTTTGTTGCTCTTGTTGAGTACGAATAATGGCTGTTAAATGTTGATCTTGTTTAAGAAGATATGTCATTATCCAGTGATAAAATTTGTCTTGCTTTTGTGTACTATTATTATCATTATCATCATCATTGTCCGAATTCTCATTTCGAAACATTTGTAATGTTTCAGGAGCAATTTCTTTACAAAGTCGTTCCATTAGTTTAAAAAGTTCTTTCTTTGTGAGATGTTGTAGTTGAAGGTGACTCTTATCGATTGATGATTTGTAATCCGAAATTATAGTATTAATACGCTCACTCAAATTTTCTATATTTAGAAAAGAATAAAACAAATATCAATAAATCTATAAACAGAGAAAACTTCGTTCACCATGACATCTTTCGTTTAGTTCTGCTTCAATGTATTCAATTTCAGCCACTAACTCAGCAAATGATTTATCAAAATCTTCCGATGGAAAAAATGAAATACGGTTTCTAGCACCTCTAAGTATTGCTAAGGCACCACTCGGCTTGAAACCTTTTTCCATGACACACGGAATGTAAGGAACGTTTTTGTCAAAAGCATATTCAGCTTCTAAATAGATTCAATCATTGGCTTGGCCGAGTATCAAAATGAAATGATAGTTATTTACCTATCATGCAATATTTACTCTGTTGGTAGCTTGTATTCATGCATAGAAGAACAATAAAAGAATTTTCAACGGCCTTAGCCATTCCATCAAGTATATTTCCATGCAAACATCTTGTGTCTCGCCACACTGTATATCCTTTTTTCTGTTCAATAAAAGATGGATGCATGTTTCTACATTAGTTATTTGTTACCTGAAGGCCAATTTCAATTTTATCACAAATCGATTCACATGTAGCCCGATTATAGCTTATCATGATATGTTTCTTTTCTCGAAGTTGTTGCTGATTATTGACTGTAGTTGGATGACTCATTTGGCTCTGTTTTTGATCTTCAACATGAGAATGACAATCTAGTAACTTAGATGACTGATATAAATTTTTCTCTTGTGTACCTGTCGGCGATTCAGTAAATAATTGAGCTTGACTGCTATCGGTTCTGCTTGTTGACTGTGGAATGCTGCTGTCATTACTATCAGCTCTTCCTTTGTCGCATTCGTCTCTATCCGATGCTTTGTTAGCCATTAGTGTCTCCTCAATACTTCCAGTTATTAAAATCATTTTTTTTACAACAGCATCTACATAGATGAAATGATTATGATAATCATTATGGAATATAGCGTTGTAAATTCTTATAACTGTACCTTCTGCAGACATTGGACAATCATTACTGTTTTGTTCAGGAACACCAATACTGCTCTCTAGTCGCGATAGATCTGGGTGAAAATGATCATCATTCGAATCTACAGTAGACATTTGGTATCCTGTTTGATATTTAGAATGACTCACTGGTATTCATAGATCCATCATCAGCCATTATCTTTGGACTAATATATTCAACACATCTTCGACAATGTCTCATGAAATGAAATCTTACCTGATTTTTATTATTAGTAAACGAGTTAAGATTCGTTGAATTCCTGAATAAAAATAAAAGAAGGATGGAGAACAAGAAAGAAAAAGAAAATGTTTTTTCTGTGCACATTTGTTAAAGTAATATCTCTCATTCTTTTTGGTGTGCTTTTTGAAATCGTCACTCACAATCAAATGACTTTTATTCATCAAATATGCCAATGTGGAATACGTAAGTGAAGTAGTAAAGTATAGATGAAAGCATTTTCAATAGAGAAACAGGTTTTCGATCCGTTTCGGTTGCGCTTCAAACATATGCCATCGAACTCGTCTCTCTGTCTTTAAAGGCATGGGTGTGTATCTACAGTGAACTGAATATAAAAACTAGGATTTAAATGATTACTCTAAGAAATCCGAGAAAATATGTTCCGTGAACGATCATAACTTGAGAAAACAAGTCTCAGTGAAATAATTTCTTGTCAAGTTTTGAACGTCTCAATGCAAGTCTCCTTATAGTCTAAAAATAGAGTTCATGAACTTAAGCATTAGAAAATGCTTTCTCCACAAGTCCATATCACTAATCTAACATTGGTCTGAGCTAATCTGAAGCAACACGCTAACACATGCATGCTTTCAATTTTATGTGAAAACGTTATGGCTTGTGTTGTGCGCAATATACTAAATCAGTCTTACCTTATCAAAATTTTGACAACAAATATTTTGGACAAAGAACGGCAAGAAATGTTAACGTCTGATGTGATTCTTTGTATTATATAGCAACATGCGTGTCGATGTAAGGAGTCTGAAGATGAAAACAACTTTCTTTACAAGGGAGGAAAGAAAGTTACCCACTGTCTCTCCTCAATTACTCTGTAAATATGCAACGTCATAATTCAGAACGAAAATGCAATGGGTGGCACTTGGCGTTTCTTTTTTTTTTCTAAACACATTGTTTCAGAAAACAAAATATAATACAAGATGTAGTGTGAAAAGCTCTACAATCTACAAAGTAACGCTTATTTCAATTGTATATTTTTTGTTTTCAAAAAAACTCAAAATTCTCTGTGATTAATTTTCACAAGATCGAAATTTGTTCGCTTAAAATTATACCCGTTTTGAAAATAAAAAATCCAACTATAAAATCAGCAGTCTTATATGGATTGATGAACATCCTTTTGAATATCAATCATTTCCGTTTGTGCTAAAATTGACTGTAAGGAATTACAGACTACAAAAGAAAACAAATTATGTACAGAAGAAGCAAACATAGAAAATCAAGATGTATCCATTATTACTTATGCTCGTCTTCTCTTACACTTTTCCTAGTTTATGATAATTATATTGAACAATTTTTTGTTGATATAAAAATATGTTGACCGAATAATGTTCATCTTAACATTCATTTGCCACTGCTGAGAGGAGTAATACATAATTTTATAAGAAATTCAACACTAATTGATTATGCAAAACTGATATGTCAAAGATTATTTTCTCTACAGAGAAATATTTTATAATTTTTATTAATGTTTATTAAAATAAAATTGATTTATATATAGAATAAGAGTATTAAAATGAAGGCAAAACTATTTAATATTTCATTGAAGAGAACCGATTCTTTTTACAGATGCAAATGACCACATATGATAACATGTGAGTGATAGAAACATAGTAAAAGAAGAAGTTGTGCTCTAGGAATAATTAATTTAAAATAAAGATCTCTAAGTCAAGTCATTTCGTATCATATAATATGCAATACATTTCCTGGAATTGTAATGAATAAATAAAAGGCCTTAGAACTTAAGTAGAACGGTTTTTCAACATAATCTGAGCTGAATCAACATCTGAAGCATGAAATCTTTGTTTTATTAAAGATAACAAAACATTTTACAAAACAAACTTTATCCCAGCCGAATAATACGCCACGGAAACAGTCGTATACAGTAAAACTACGATAATTTTCGACCTGGAACTAGCATTAATAGATATTCTTGAGTTCTATCTAGCACTACTTACCCAATGTCTCTAGAGGCCGATATCTGATAAAAACATTTGTATGTCTAGTTGTTCTTTGTTAAAAAAAACTTTCTTTTCTGTTAATATAAAGTTTTATTATTTCCGAAAAAAATATAGATGGATGTCAGTTTAGACGTTGTCTCTGAAACAAACTGTAAGAGAAATGACTAAAATCATCGTGGATAAGAAATGCGTGTGTGGACGTGGCAGTAGAAAGTAGAGCAGCACTTCCATTCCATATCTTGAGTACATTGGTGTCAGCTCTTTATTAAGATTTGAAGCTGAATACAAATCAGATAGAAAATAAAATCCAGATATAGATGCGAACCTGTTTGGGTTTTATCCACATCTAATCTGGTTCTCTGTCTGGAAGCATCTGTAGTTCTTAACTAACCTAATGATACATAACATCGACGTAAATCATACTGATCTCTAATAGGTTTAATTGTCCCAAACTGTTAAGTTTTATATATATATAAGTAAGAGAGTACCTACAACACCTGAAATCGTTGAAAGCTGCTCGAAGACGTCGAGAATTTATTCTTAAGAATGTCAAAAAAAGTCACTATTTAAGTAGATATGTCACTTGTTAGTAGTTTGTCAATTTGTAACTTCGTAAGAATAACTTTATTGATTGATGCGATTGTTTATCGAATGTAAATCGAGAATTGTTTTTGGCATCGTTGACGATTACTTTTTCATAAATTGCTGCAATATTTGTTTATTATTATTCGTTACGTTTGTTGCTAATATTCAATTGGATGGAATAAATTTGTAGAATATGTTAAGCATGATAATATTTATTCTTTAGTTTTTGTCGACATCGAATTGCTGTGCAATAATGTATGTCAACAGGTAATAAATTTGATAATATCAGCTGCACAAGATACACAGCGTTCAATTCCAAATTCTCTTCTTATTTCTTCTACCATTATAACAGCAATAATTCATCCTCTAGGACAAAAATAGGAACTCATTTTCCAACTAATCACATACAAAAGAGAAATGTGACGAATTCATGTAATTATAATACATTCTATATTTTCAAGTTTACGTGAAAAAACTCGACCTATGGAATCATGTACTGCAACAAAGTTTCAAATTATCAATTACTCTCTGCAATCAGTGATAAAGATCATTTTTGATCATGTTTTTAAAAGCAAAACTTTTTTAGTCATTGTTACAAATTTACTTCATTTCTATTCATTGAATGAGTCTATCTATTTGCAATATATCATATGTCGATGTGGCATGGATTTGTTATTTAACAAAGGTAGGAACGTCAATAGGAGGAGGATTGCATGATGTATATTGCTTTTGAAATCGCCTATAAAATACCTCGTGGTTTCGAAATTGACCGTTAATGATAGTAAAACTGAGATTATATTCATATTACGCTGCTGTTGTTTTAACTGCCGAGTTATGCGTTTGAACACATGTCATAATGTTGATCAAGAAAAGACAAAGTTTAGCAAAAAGAAATAACGAATCCATTAGTAATGTATGATGACACTAGATGAATATAAATTACTGACTAAATAACTCCGCCAGTTGCCATTAATTGATATAATTCCTTAGTTTCAAATGCTTTTTCGTGTTTCTAAATAAAATCACGAAAAAGTTAACAACATTTGAGGAAAGCAAGCAATGAATCTAAGTCATACATCGTTAAATCTAGGAGCTATGTTTTTATTTAAAAAAACACAATGAAAAGTATTTTGAGAAGATAAATGAATGATAAGAAGACTGATCAATTCAATTTACAGCGATCACGATTATTGTTATCAGATTATATATACGTCAAAATAAGCGAATAAGAGTTTAGTTAAATAACCAATAGGTAAGAAAGGGAAGGCAAAACAATGATGTTGATGTTCATTTTTTTCTCTATGTCTTGATAAGCACCTAAACAGACTTGACTAATTCAAACTGAATAAGAAATGTAATATTTGTGCCGTCTAGAGTTTACCGTGTTCATTCAAATAGATTTCGATTCTTTTTAAATGTTAGATTGAATATTAGTGCTTTACTAATCTTAAAAACTCACATAAAGATCGTACTATTTTTATATACTTACCACTACAATACGAGTTTTTCAAAATGAGTTAAAAATACTTGAGATTACAGGTAGAGAGATTGTTTTTACGTGCTGAGATACACGATTGAGACTCAAAGTTTGATAAATTTCAATCGTCTAGATTTAAGCATTTGTTTTATACTATATATTAATGAGATGACGTCATCTACAGTAAACAGCTTCTTTAAAGTACAATATAGAATCAGTTTTGAGTCATTCTCATAGCTCCTACGATAAGAACTGAAGTAGTATTTTATATATTTACTTTAGTCATTATTATGAAAAATAATACGTGCTGTAATCTTATGTGACTCATTGACACTATTTTTTCTCTTTGTTTTAATAAACATACATTTTCTGACGTTATTATTTTCAATGATGGTAGATCATAATAAATGGATACAATGATCAAAGTTTCATCTCAAATTGTCATACCGTAAGACAGTTATAAGTCAAGTAAAATGACAAATCTTGCTTCAAAATAGACTTTTCTCGGCCTATATTTTCATTAATTTTTAATTTCGAGTAACAGAGATAATCGAATAGTGACTGTAGATTTGAGATTCAAGAAAAGGGTGCGGGTGTTCTCCTCAATCAGATCAACACTCACACGCGTTTTCGACATGTAAGCCAAGTGTATCTTATGAGTTCTTAGAGAACCATCATAAAGATTGACTAAGAAGAACTCAAAAATATTGAACTTTAATATATTAGAATGAAACGGTACCATGGTATTAAAATCAACTCATATATATCCCTATTTGTTATGTTTATTAGCTCTGATACTGCTTTCAAATTGAATATAATCAGTGACAAGTGAAAGTTTATTCAATACTACTAACGGAATTTGCAGGAAACCGAGTACGAAAAGTTGTACCCATGTACAACACTATTCTGAACCATATAATTTTAGCTTTTAGTAAAGCAACAAGTATATTAGTTTATAAAAAAAAGAATGGGAGTAACCTACAATGTAAAGGAAACTGCTGAAATTTCAATCAATGATTATCTGCATAGGAGCAACATAGAAAGTGAATTCTTCATTCATTTGAATAAGCAAAGTCTGAAGAAAAAAAAATTTTTTTTTCTTAGAAAACTATATTAATGAAAAAATGATCCTTAAGAAACTTCATCGACTTTTAATATAAAAGAGAGTTTCTCAGTAACCTTTTAATAGTAAATAAAAGGTATTACATGTCTCACTTTCGATAGAAAGCATAGAATGTTGAGAAGACTTCAACATTTTGGAAAAGATCAAAGTTAACTTGAATTTGTAGAGAATTTTGAAATCAATAAAAACTTTTAAAGGTTCGATTGTTTTTTTTTTCGAAGTTCAACTTTTCTCTTCTTCAACAAGAAAGAGAATGAACTTTCTATGATGTTTTTGAACGAAGAATCATAGATCGAGATTTTTTCAGCAGCTATTATAAGAATATTTGAAATGAAAAATAATTAGCGATTTATGTAAGACAAGGTCACTAAAAAGAAACGCAAACATAGTTGTTCATTATCTAAAATATGATACTATCATTTCGTTCAGACTAAGTACAAGGATACAACAAATAATTCTCTAAAAAATGAAATGTCTTCGAATATTTTATAATCTTTCTATCATATGAATGGTTTCACTGCCAAACTAATTAATCTAACAAATAAGTTGCTTATAAGATGTTGACATTCCCTGTACCACGTGCCCACATTTTAAAATATCAGCATCATATATTTTTCTTTTTTGGTCATGGTTGAGTAGAGGTAGGTGAGTTACACAAGAAGAAAAAAATCAATATCACACATATTCAAAAGCAAGTTTGCGACAGTCAGAATTTCGTGTCTGTTACCCTTATATTGCACAATAATGGTATCTTAGGCTTTGTTTATAAAGTTGCTATTGAATATTTGTAACAATTTTTTTTCCTTGTGTAACTTGTCGAGTTCTATTCAACCATAAAGACAAAGAAAAAATAACTATTACTGGAATTTTGAAGTGTGAGCACATGACATATATCTATATTGAAAATGAAATTACATTCTTTCTTAAAACAACAGTTAGTGTAATAAAAGAAAATGAAAGAAAGAAATTAAAAAGAACAACCTTTTCTTCATATTGTATTTCATCATATAATTTATTGCTTTCCTTATTTCAATCAATGTTTTTTTGCTCTGTAAAAAAGTTTATCTGTCAAAAATTTTTTATCTAGTTACTCATTAAATTATAATTACGAGTTTCATATTGTGGACTAGTGAGAAAGTGTGGTATTCACTTTACAAGTACATACATTTTTAATCATCTCTAAACGATATTTAGATTAATTATTATATATTACATTTTCAAGAGGAAACATCATTTAGCATTTAAGAATTTTCAATAAACTATTTACATATGTGTTAAAATCTTTCAATTAAAAGGACTAATATTATATCATACAATTACACTTTTTATCTTTGTTGAATTTTAATGGTGATAAGTAGAAATTTACTTCTCTTTTGAAATTATGTATTATGTTTGATAATCTTTACTATTCAACTTGTGCTTTTGTGTTAAAACAAAAAATAAATTATATTAAACAAATATCTATTTATGACTGTTCATTAGCGACATCTGTCTATATTGTTATGAATTCTAAAAAATAGAATAAAATATTGAGAAAATCATTTAATCAAATATATTTTTGTTAAATTATTGAAATTGAATATGTATGGTCAATCATACTGACTAAAGAATATGTTAATGGTTGAAAATAAGCATGTTTCATTCCAAGTTATATTACATAGTTGTATAGTATTGGTGGTGGTGCCCTACTCTGCCTGCCCTCCTTCGTTTCGTTCCTTCTGTTTGTGTATGTATCTCATCTCTTTCTCTCTGTCTTCGTCCCGTTCTATCTCTTATACCATTCCTCTGTCTCTATCTCTGTCTCTCTCGTTATGGGGCCGACCAAACGATCGGCGTCAGAGTGACTGAACAAACATCTGACCTTCTTCTATTGACTACTATTTGAGTTGTTATTTATTATTATTTTTTTCTTTAGAGATTTTTTTGTTTATATGTATAAATATCGGTTCAATCAAAAATCTATTCTTGTTTTCTTAAATAGTCTAGCATGAACAATGGTTCTTTGCATATGAAAGGCAATAATTCTCGAACAATATCAACAACAACTTCATTAACTGATCAATCATTACGAACATCATTAATACGAAATACAGATCACGATATATCATTAGATTTAACTGACGTTTCAATTTTATCTGTTGGTCTTAAACGTTATCAAAATCATAATCACGAAATGTTAACTGATGATGATGAAGATAATGAAGTTGTAAGAATTAAATTTTTAATTTAAGAAAAAACAGAATTATTTATTTTTATACTTAGATCGAAACAAGTGATGATGAAGATGACGATGATGATGATGATGAACCATTTCCTTCCAATTCAACAAATGCATTATTAAATAATACTAATAATAATGATGATATGGATCTTGGCTTAATTGATCCAGATACACAAGCTAAATTAGCTGCTATACTTGAAGCTACTGGTATAACAAATTCTCCTATACCAGAAGATTTTTGGCGTGATCAACAAGTTGTACGTTTATTAACAAGTAGTGTAACAAATAATTTAAATGGTTTACATGAAATAGCTAATGCTATATCACCATCAAATATTAATCTAAGTGGACATCAAGAAAAAAAATCTAAATCAACAAATAAAGACACGTATGAAAAAAAAAAATAAAATAACACAAATATAATTGCATCATTGTTTTATGTTTTCTTTTTTTTTTTCAGATCCGGAACATTTGTTCGTGCATGTATGAATAATGATATTCGTACAATTGAAAAAATTCTTCAAACAACAAATGGAAAAGAACATTTAAATGATGTTAATGAAGATGGTGATAGTGTTTTAGCTGTTGCTTGTTCAAATGGTTATACAGATCTTGTACGTTTATTACTTACAACTATACCTGATATTGATATTAATGATCGAGGTACTAAACAAGATTGTACACCATTAATGGAAGGTTAGAAATAGATTTTATTTTTTTTGCTAAAAGCAAACACTCTTACGTTTATTGTTTTTTTTTCATAAATAGCTTGTAATGCTGGTCATTACGAAATAGTTGAACTTTTATTAAAACATAATGCAAATGTAAATATGCAATCAACATCTGGTAATACAGCATTACATTATTCAGCAGGAGGAGTAAGAAGAACAAAATAAAAATTTCTTTCTTTCAATGATTTGGTTTTTTGTTTTCTTTGTCAAGGGTTATGCAGATATTGTTCGACTTCTACTTGAACATGGTGCTAAAGTAGAAGAAACAAATGAAAATGGTCATACACCTCTTGTAAATAATTATTTTTAAGAAATTTTTTTTTTTAGAAATATTGAATTTCGTTTTCTTAGATGGAAGCAGCTAGTGGTGGCCATGTAGAAGTTGCACGTGCACTACTTGATCATGGTGCTGGTGTTAATACACTTTCGAATGATTCGAAAGATAGTATGTTATTATGAAGATTAATTTTCATTTTGTTTTTTTTTTTTTTTTTTTCTATAAATAGAAAATGGAAATGATAGTAAACAACATAAAACAGATGAAATGCATACAGGTAAATAAATCTTGAAAAATTAGTTAGGATAATAAATACAGTGACTTTTGCTAACCGCATAAATCCTTTTGAGAATATGGTAAAAATTATTGAGCTGAGTACTTTTGTAGATTGAATATTTGCTTATTAAAGGTGATATCGAACATTAAGTTATTGCTTTTATTTAAGTGAATCTATAAACATTTGCTTAGAAATTTTAGTTCTAATCCGTAATAATCAAATATTTTTGTCTAGAAACATCTGTATCATTCGTTAAAAGTTTACTCCAATGCATTATTTGAGTTATTGCACAATAGTTATGCTTTTAGATTATTTAAAAAAAAATACATAAATTTATCTTTCAATAATTAGTCGATAGAATATTCGTTCGAAATGAAAACGAATGCATTTATCAAAAAATTCAGTTTAATTTATTTTTTTTTTATCTTAAATAAATATTTATATTTAGCTTTAATGGAAGCATGTATGGATGGTCATGTACAAGTAGCAAAATTGTTACTTGATCATGGTGCCGATGTAAATATGCCACCAGATAGTTATGAAAGTCCACTAACATTAAGTGCATGTGGTGGTCATATTGAACTAGCCTCGTTACTTATTGAACGAGGTGCTAATTTAGAAGAAGTTAATGATGAAGGATATACACCATTAATGGAAGGTTTGTTATGTTATTAAATTTAAAGAAAAAACATCATTTTAGTTTTTTTTTTCTATGGTTTACAGCTAGTAGAGAAGGACATGATGATCTTGTAAATTTACTTGTTTCACAAGGTAAAGTAATTTTTATTTTTATTTTTATTTTTTTTGTGGAACTTACGAGAATGAGTGTAAATTTTGCATCTCTCCTCTCTCGTAGCAACCAAGTTCAAAAGAAAGAAGTCAAGGAGTAGATCTTCCCTAGCAACGAAGGGACGTGCAAAGAAAGGCTAAAGTTCGTCGGGTACGTCTCCATAGCAATCAAGGACAAACATTATCCTACTCTCTTCCTCGAATTTCCTTAGCAACGAAAAAAAAAACCTAGAATGTTCTAGCACATTCCAAAGCCTTGTTCGGAATTTGAATAGTTAAAATACGTTTATATTCACTTTGTTGTGCACAGATAAAAATTTATATTCAAGACGTCAAGCATAATATGTACTGATAAGAACCCGTCGGGTCCGGGTCCAAACTAGTCGAACCATATTTAAGTACTCTTAATGTAATTTTCTAATCGAAATTGGATAGTTGCCTCAAAGACGCGGAATACTTTTTTTTCTAGTTTTTGTGTGTTCGCTGACTTAGCATATTTTATACATTTGTCAGATTACTAGAGATCGGAACCAACTTGACGAGCTCTAATATTGATGCATTGATTATGCCACAATTGTCATAAAAAAAAAAAGAACTGTGAACTGATCAACGAAAAATAATGAATGTTAGTCGTTCCGAGTTTATTGAGATTTCTATTCGAAATGCATAAAAGTAAATAAGACAAATCGATTATCTTTGAAGGATAATTAAACATGTTTTATTTTACGAATTTTATATTAATATAAAATATATTCTTTTTTGTTAGGTGCTGATGTTAATCGAACAACTGAAGATACACAAGAGACTGCATGTATGTATAAACTGAATATACATATATTATTTTAATAATATTAAATTAAATTTATTATTTTAGTAACATTAGCATGTGCTGGCGGATTTTTGGATGTAGCCAAAATTCTTCTATCCAATGGCGCTAATGTTAATTTAGGTCAATCAACTCCTCTTATGGAAGCATCACAAGAAGGACATGTAGAATTAGTACAATATTTAATACAAAATGGTGCTGATGTTAATCAAACAACACCAGCTGGAGAAACTGGTAGTTTGATGAAATTGTTTTTTCTTTGTCATTACCACAAAAAAAAAATAAACTTTAATAAATTTAGCTTTGGCTTATGCTTGTGAAAGTGGTCATAGTGAAGTAGCAGAAATTTTACTTAATTCCGGTGCACATATTGATCAAGCTGAAAATGAAGGACGAACACCATTAATGAAAGCAGCTAGAGCTGGACATATATGTACAGTACGATATTTAATATCAAAAGGTTCAAAAACATAAAACAAAAATCTAAATAATGATTATTTTATTATTATTATTTTTTTCAAAGGAGCGGATGTTAATCGAGCAACAAATAGTAATGATTCAACTGTTCTTTCATTAGCATGTGCCGGTGGCCATCTTGATGTAGCTTCATTATTACTTAAACATGGTTCTGATCCAAATCATCTTTTGAAAGTAAATTTTAAGAGTTTATGTTGGAAAATTTCAAATAAATCCTGTTTTTAAAGGATCGTTCAAATTGTTTAATTGAAGCAGCTAAAGGTGGTCATACAGAAATAGTAAAATTATTACTTGAATATCCAAAAAGTGTCACACAACGAACACAAATAGTACCACCGACAAATTCTGTTGAACCATTACATTATGATGTAACGAATGAACATGATGAAGAAAAAGATAAAGAACAAAATTTAACAGTGACAATGTCAAATACATTTCCATTACCAACATCATCATCAGGTTTTGTTATTGTTTTAAATTTCAAAAATAATTTTAATAGCTATTTTAAATAGGAGATAATAATAATAATAATAATAAACGATCCGCCCAAACAACAAATTCACCTATTCAATTATTAAAAAGTCTTCAAAAAATTGTTCCTAGAAATATTCTTGATGTTCTACAAACTGGTGTTAATGAATCAATAAAATTACATACTGATAATGATATAAAAGGTTTCCGTTTGTGTTATATTAAATCAAATTTTTTTAAAATATAATTTTCTCTAGATAATATAACATGTTCAATATCAAATAATGATCGATCATCATCACCTATTTTACCTAATGATACATTTCAACAATCAAATCAAAATTCAGATATTAGCAATGTTCAACAAGCAAAAAAACTTCAAATACTCGGTAATTATCTTATCTAATATTTATTTTAAATTAAAAATCTCAAAATGAATTCTAAATTTATGCAAAAAAATGTGTCTAAATATCGAGTGATTTTTTCATAAGAGTTTAGAATAAGAATTCCCTTCAGAAATTTCTCATCAATCTTATTTCTGAATAATATTTCTATGAACAAAAAAAGATCGTTTTCAATAGAAATAGTCCCGCTGTACTATGAGCATAGAATTGTTGAACATCTGAATGAGTGAATTTTGAATTGAAATTTTGGCTAGAATGAAATTCAATCATTCAGATTTTCAGTGATCAATTCACACAGCGAAATTATTTTAGGATTAATTAAATTTTTGATGTCAAAGAGTAGAATTTTCATCTGATTATAAGTAAAATAGAATATGTGATCTCAATAAGAGAGAATTCAATATAGACCGATCCGTTGAAATAAATTTTTTGTTGATTTCATATTGATATTCTTTTAAGAACAACTTCAATATGTTGAAAAAGAACTTCATGATAAAGCACAACAACAATTACAAATCAATCAAGATTATCGACAACAAGTTAATGATTATGTAAATTCAAATTCACTTCCATCACCATCAACAATAAGTGGTAAAAAAAAACGAACAACATCATCATCTTCAACATCAAGTTCATCATCTGAAACATCATCATCATCATCAACAGCTAAACAAGATGATCAAACATTATTACCACCACCACCACCACCAACAACAACAAATTTAACATTACCTATACCAACACAAACAATAAATTTTTTTTCAACATCAACTAATGAAACAAATCCATCATCATCATCATCATCATCATCAAATAATCTTCGTATATCAAATAAATCAATTCTACCACCATTTCATCATAATCAACATCATCCAAAAATAAAAAAATCATTTAATCGACAATTATCAAAATTTGATCGTCGACTCGAACAAAATTTACATGATAATCAAACACATATTGATCAAATGAATTTACATTTAAAAAGTCTTAAATTACTTTCACCATCATCAACAGAATGTTTAACAACATTAAGTCCAACAAAAACTCCTATGCGTATTAATACTGATACACAAAAAGCACTTGAACATTTACGTGTATTAGCTAATAATCCATCTGAACTTGAACGTATACAAACATTATCAAATAATCCAAATTTAGTACAAGAAATAAAAAAAGTTGCTAATGAATCATTTAATGAACAATTAAGAACATTACCACCATTTACACCAGCAAATTTACAACAAACAACAAATGATTCAATAACAGTTGAAAATAAATCAAATAATAATGAAAATCATCAAAAAAGTAAGTTATAAGAAAGTTAAAAGAAAAAAATTGACTAGACTAGAATAGGAGTCCGACTGTACTCTTCATATACGCATCTCTTTTTTCGTTTCTTTTCTTGTGTTTTGACTCATAATACATGGTCGAGGTGGGTGTTGTTTAAGTGAAGGTCTACATATACACATCCCTCACCTGTATCTACACACACACCTTGAATCTGAAATACCTATTAATAACTGTTATTACCGCATTTCTAGTGGATAATCGACAATAAAATTTACAGAAATAATTATTGTTGTCGTTACTTTGTGAGAATTTTGGAAATAGCAGATATTCGAAATTTCGGTTGACTCTAATAATACATCCCACAGATATTCTTGACGATGATCTTATAATAATCAAGTTATGATGAACTGTCGCATTTAGAGACTCGAAAACATTTCCATTAAAATTCAATAGTATATACGAGATCAGTCATCAGTATTTCTCAAAAAAGAAAAAAGATCTATGTTTTTGATTGAATTGAGAGTTTCTATTGCACTGGATTGAATCGGTTTGACTTCGGTCTATATGGAAGTTTTGTTCAACATGATGAATCAATATCAATCGACTTATATACAATCGTCGGAGATTGTATATTAGAATTAATCTGAGATTTTTCAAAACTTATGAAATAGTTTTTTCAGAAAAATTATAAATTATTTTTTTATTTTCTTCTAAAGTGCTTCCACATACTGAACCAGTTATCCATTCTCAACCTGATATAACAGTACAAACAGTGACATCTTCAAATCAAGTCTCATCTCAACAACCACAACAGTCATTTACCATTTCAACTACAACTCGAAATTCAAATAAAGAAGATAATCATCATACGCTATCAGTAAATGATCGTCCTCCATCATTATCTAATGTAACTAATTCTCAACATTCAATCTGTTGTGCTGAATGTCCATCACAATCAACAAATATTTTAAATACAACATTATCTCATTTACATTTTCAAAATCGAATTGATGTTGATTGTGAAACAGAATCAAATCATGATACAGCATTAACATTATCATGTGCTGGTGGTCATGAAGAACTTGTTACATTACTTTTACAACGTGGTGCAAATATTGAACATCGTGATAAAAAAGGTTTTACACCTTTGATACTTGCTGGTAATTTTCTTTATTTTTTATTTTGTATTGTAATATCGTATTTTGTTTTGTTTCATAGCTACTGCTGGTCATGCTAATATTGTAGCTAGATTACTTGAAAATGGTGCCAATATTGAAGCTCAATCAGAAAGAACAAAAGATACTGCATTATCATTAGCATGTAGTGGTGGAAGACAAGAAGTTGTTGAAGTTTTATTAAAGAAAGGAGCTAATCGTGAACATAGAAATGTTTCAGATTATACTGGTAAGATTTTGATTTAATATATAACGGTTGATCAAAAAAAATTTCTGTGAATGTAAGACGGTTGTCCGTTTTTAAAAAAATAAATACTAAGCACAAACGAAAATTGAAGTGCTTTCTCGAAAGTGTTCTCTAAGGAACCTTCTAATCTTCAAATAAAGATCGTTGATTTTATTGATATTGAACAAAATTCTGAAGTCCATATTCGAAAACAGTACAAACTCATAGCGCTTGATTCGTTCGAAAATATGTCAAAAGTGATGTCTAAAAAGTTTTCGATCACACGTTAGAATATGTATTTATTTTATTTGTTTCTTAGCTTTGAGTCTTGCTGCTTCGGGTGGATATGTGAATATTATAAGATTATTATTAAATTATGGTGCAGAAATTAATTCAAGGTTAGTTTATTTATTCATTTATTTATCATTATTGTTTTTTTTTGCTTGTCTTCCGATATAGAACTGGTAGTAAATTAGGAATAACTGTAAGTATTGATTGAAGAATTTATATTAGAAAACAAAATGTTCTATTTTAAGCCATTAATGCTTGCTTCAATGAATGGACATGTTGCTGCTGTTAAACTTCTATTAGATATGGGTTCTGATATAAATGCTCAGATTGAAACAAATCGCAATACTGCACTGACGTTAGCTTGTTTTCAAGGACGAGCTGAAGTTGTTTCATTATTAGTTGATCGAAAAGCAAATATTGAACATCGAGCAAAAACAGGTTTAACACCTCTAATGGAATCTGGTAAAAAGAAATTATATTTTTTTGATATGAAAAAAATTTTTATTTTGTAATCAATTATTTTTAGCATCAGGTGGTTATGTTGATGTTGGTCGTGTTCTATTAGAACGAGGCGCTGATGTTAATGCACCACCAGTACCAACATCGAAAGATACTGGTATGTAACCAAATAGTAAAAGAAATATACTACATAGCCTAAAGATACGTTAGATGTTCTTAGATAGATGACCATATTTAAGATATTTGAGCAACCTGTTATACTGAGTACTTCTATTAGACAATAGCAATAGTGTTTGGTTTGATATCTCGTTTTTCTTTGTATTAATAAGAAGTAATATTAAATCATATCGATAGGTATTGATTTCATCTTTGATCTTTATGAGATTGCAATTGAAAACGTCCTACGAATGAACGCTTTTGATCCATCGCGATAGTGCCTAGATTAGAGAGATTTTACCGTAGTTACTGTTTTTGAATTGAATTGAAATTCATAAGATTTCTGTGTTTTTTATGTACTGACTTTAAAGAAGTCGAACAGATACTCTGCTACTAGTATGTGCCAGGAACTTTCAGAATTTTTAACATTTGAACCCTTAGAAGGCTGTAGAATCTAAATAAGTACCCATGCACTAAGAAAATTTTCAAATTTTGACTTGAAACTTTGCATAGAGAAAAGTCTTGATGAGAATAGTTTATTATGAAAGTTTCAAATATTTTCATTTCTCTAATCTTAAGAAACATTCACCGATTCGATACTCTTATTTCAAAACAAGAACAGATCAAATAGTTTCATACTTTCACAATAAACTATTCTGACTAAAGCTTGTTTCTATGTAAAGTTTCAAATAGAAATGTTTTTAAAACTCATTTAGGTTATGATATTTATTAAAAGTTAATTTAAAAATATTTCTAATATAAATTTATCTTATATTTAGCTTTAACAATTGCTGCTGATAAAGGTCATCATAAATTCGTTGAACTACTTCTTCTTTATGGTGCAACTATTGATGTTCGAAATAAAAAAGGTGCCACACCATTATGGCTTGCTTGTAATAATGGTCATTTAGAAGTTGTTCAATTACTTGTAACACGTTTTGCTAATCCAGATTCAAGTGATTCACGAAAAGTTTCTTGTCTTATGGCTGCTTTTCGTAAAGGACATTGTAAAGTAGTTAAATATTTAGTTCGTCAAGTTCGACAATTTCCATCAGATGCTGATTGTCGTCGTTTAATAAGTACAATAACTGATAAAGTAAGAAAAACAAAGAATTTCAATTTATTTTTAATTCTATTTTTCTAAAGGATCTATTAAAAAAATGTCAAACATGTATGGATCAAATAATATCCGCTAAAGAACGACAAGCAGCTGAAGCAAATAAAGCTGCTAATAGTTTATTAAAAGAAATTGATTTAGAAAAATCACGTGAAGAAACTCGAAAAGTAGCTGCTGCAAAAAAACGTGAAAAACGTAAAGCTAAGAAAAAAGGTAAACAAAAATCAAATACAATGGAATCAACAATTGTGAAACCTGATGAACAACAAGCACAACAACAACAGCAAGAACAAGAAGAAGAACATGAAGAAGAAGAAAATAATGAAAATGAAGAAATAATTCCTCAAGAAAATCCTTCAATATCATCAACAACAACTCTTGTGGTTGATGATGATCTTCGACTTAAAATGGTTAAAACAGATCATGAAGAAACAACAAAAAAACCTCTTTCACCTGAACGTCCATCACCAGTAGTAACTGTATCTAAACAACCTATAAATAATAATAATAATAATAATAAAAAGAAAACAAATACAATGACACGTAAAATTGAACGTCATCAAGAGAATCTCGCATCAAAAAATAAACAACAAGAAACAATTTCTACAACAAGTGGAATATCAATACCAAATGTAGATGATGGTTGGCAAGAAGTTATTGGTAAACAAAAAAAAATTACTATACCACATGAACAATATTCACGTATTATTGGACGTAGTGGTTCAAATTTAAATGTTTTACGTGAAGTAACTGGTGCATCGATTGATGTTGAAAATAAAAAAGCTATTGGTGATAAAACTATTTTAATTAAGTATGTTTCTTTTTTTTATTTAATTATTATTCTTTAATAGAAAAAAAAATTTCTTTGTTTTTTTTTTTTTATTAAAATAGAGGTAATGGTGATTCCATAAAACATGCTTATCAGCTAATAATGGCATTATTGAAAAATTCGGAATCTGAATTAATGAATCTATTACCATCAAGTAATGAAAATAAAACAAAATCAAGATCAACAACGATTACATCTAATAGTGAACATAATAATGATGAGATAAATAAAGTACAAAGAACAAATAGTACAAGTTATGGAATAAGATTGCAAAATACTGGTAAAATATATTTTTCTTAACAAAAAAATTTACCAGTTTATTAAGAATCATTTTTACATGGTTGAAATCAACATTTTTTTTCTGACTTTATTCAATACCTTGTACGAAACTGAGGTTATGAATAGATTTTTATGCTCCTGGAACTCGAAGAGGGTAGTTAAAGAATAACGAAACATTCGTGAACTCGATTCGGCGAAGACTGATCTGAGAAGAACCATAGACAAAAACTTTTACAAAAAAGAGCTGACGGATAGTTGCTAGAAAATAAATTTTAATAAAACCTATGACTCAGACTTGTTTATATTTTTATGAAGATAGCCTCTACTTTCATCAAATTAAATTCCACAAACTTCAATTTTATGCAAGAAATATGAATACATTACTATTACAACATTTCTATTTCTAGAGCCTTCCGTATCAGATACTCATGTATCAACTTCATCATCTAAACCCATGACAAATAATACTCGTATATCGAATGTATCAACTAAAAAAACTACAACAATAAATTCTTCAAATATTTCTAATCGTTCAACATCATCATCAACAACTAAAAATTCTCAGCCATTAACAACTACTGGTGCAACATGGGTTAATTCGAATCGATCAAATCGTAGTATAACATCATCTGTAACAACAAATTCTACACCATCAAATATATCAAATTCAATACCAGTATGGAATCATCAACAATTATCATCAAAATCATCTTTAAATCATAATAAAACATCTAATACAAATCATTATTCAACAAATCAAACAAATACTTCATCATCTTATCATTATCCATATTCAAATATTAATAATTCAATAAATAATCATAATCATTATGGACATTCATCAAATAAACAAATAATATCATCTAATAAACATTATTCAACAAATTATTATCAAAAAGGTGAACATTCAATACCATCTGAAACAACAACAACAGTTCATTCATCGCCAAATTCAGTTATTCCATCTCAACCAGGTCATCGAATTCCAGTACAACCACTTCCAACCTCTTCCACAGTACCAACTATTTCATCATCATCATCATCATCGGAATCTATGTCATCAACACCAACATCATCATCATCATCATCATCTACTTTACTTGTTGCTTCATCAACAACACCAACTCCAACTAATGTAACAGCAGCTGGTGAATATAATCCATTTGCATCTAATATTCTTACAACATCAATTGTTGATGTCTTAACCAAAACTAAAGAATCAGTAACATCTATTGATGAAACAAATTCAAATGCAACAACAAAAATGAATTTTGCTAATGTTGCAAAAATGAATGTACCAACAAAATCATCTCATCATGAACCAATTGTTATAACCATGGATGAATCATTATCACCACCGCCTGATCCTAAAATTGCTCCTGGTTATCGTGGACCATCAAGTGCTGGTACAACACCAATACATCATCAACAACAAATAATTCGTACAACAAATTTTGATTCCATTTCTCCAACATCACAATTAATACGTGCACCAGGTGCTAATAGACATCAACAATCAATATCACCATCAATAAATAAAATACTTCTTGATCAAAATGGTCAAACAGGTTCATCAACAACATCATCAACATCATCATCACCATCATCAATAAAACAACAAACAAATCAATTTATTCAACCACAACAATTATTTAATTCATTAGAACAACAACAGCAACAACAACAACCATTTGGACCTATTGGATCACATCGTACACAAATACCAACAACAGCTGATGTTACATTTCATGATAATTCACTTCAAATGAGAACTAAATTTAATCGAACATTATCAGCTAATAATACTCCAATGTATCAACCAGTTCTACCACAATCAATACCACCAATGCTTAACAATCCAGCTTATGCTAATATGTCACGTAGTAGATCGAATCTCAATCCAAGTGCACCAGAATTTCAACATTGTAATCGTTTACCACCACCATTTATGCCACCTCCACCACCACAAGTGCCTATGTCAAATGGACCATTATCAGCAAACATCATGAATATTGCTCGTATGATGGAACAAAAACAACAACAACAACAACAGCAACAACAATTATATGCCAATAATACGAATCCTCCAGTACATCCACCACCACCACCGCCACAGCCAATGGCACCACCACAAGTCTTAGCACCTATACGTCCACTTCAACAAGCTGATATGGAAGCAATGCAACAGCATGTACAAAATCAAGTTTTACATTTTTTACGTTTACATGCCAATCAACAACATCTTATACCACCACCACCACCACCACAATTACCAACAACATTACAAATAGCTAATATATTAGCATCAAAAGGACAATTACCACAAGATCCAAATCAAGCAGCAGCACTTGTTGCTGCTTATTATTATACAAATTTTCTATCACGATCACAACAACCACAACCACCAACAAATACTATTCCATTATCGTCTAATGTAAATAAAAATGTCTATGAGACGATTAATATACAACAACCAACTACTTCAAACAGTGATGATATACCATTAACTGCAGGTAAATTTTAATAGAGAGAGAAAATAAGATAGAATTTCACAAATATGCTTTAGGATTAATCATATTAACTCTAAAAATTTTAGCGATAATCGCTAAACTTTCAAAAAATTTGTTTTCAAAATAGAGAATAGTCCACATTATAACTGCATCTCGATCCGAGCGATCAAGATCGGACTGATCTCATCTTGCCTACGTTTCTAAGGTAGTGCATATACTAAAAATTTCAGATAGGTAGATTTAAGACTTGTTGAAATCATAGAAGAACGAAAGCATTCCATACTTTTGCAATTTTGTTCACTGAATTGTTTTTTTTTAATAACTAGTTGATCCAATAAATGGACCAGTTCAAGCACAAGTGATTGTTGATCCGAATGTTATCATTGGTAATAGTAATCATTCAAGTGGCTCTTCTTCTTCATCATCATCTACGAGTACTAGTGGTGATCACAAAATGGTACCAGCTGCCATTGGTAGCGAACGTAAACGTCATTTACCTATACCAACAACTGTTGGTTCAATACCGACTGGTGATTGGTCTTCCGTTTCAAAACGTACGGTTTCTTTTTTATTTGATTTATTATTTTGTTTTTTGGAACTATCTCTTCTTTTAGAACCATATCCAATCGATCCATATCTATCACAACAGCAGCAAGCTCCACTATCATCCGAATATCAACAACAACCGATGCGCGACTATACACGTTAGAAAACAAAAATGTAATAGTTCTATTCGATTGAAAACATAATGCATAGATTTTGTCTCTTATTATTTAAAGATTTCGGTTTTTTTTATTCATACACTCTTCATAACGGCGTGTGACACATTGTCTTGCTCTCTTGTATTGCTTGTGCGTGTGTGTTTTTTTTCTTTCTCTATACATCAGTTTCGTTTGTTCTTCTCTAACCGATCGTTTACTTTTTTTTTCTTTTGCCCAATTTTACTAGCTCTTTATTCTCCAGACATTTTTCCCGATTGTTAAAAGCAATGGGTTCGCGCATTCGTCCCATGTGCCATTCTAATCAGTTCTCTTCGTGTTGAAGACGACGTAGCAGCAAGTTTCTCTCGCGTTTTTTTTTCTTTTTTGTGTCATCTCTTTTTTTTTCGATATACATACAAATACACACATACAGAAAAACCAAAACAAAAAAGAATTCTTTAAATTTCTACAAGGCTCAAAAGTAGACGAGAGAAATTTTTTTCTCTAGATGACCGATGGTTGTTTAAATTGTCGTTTACTTCTATCATTTATTTGTATATTAAATTTTCTTATTTCAATAACACTTAAAATAAATCAAACATGGTTACATGTTTCATGGTTTTTAATATTTATACCAATATGGATATTTAATTTAATATCATTATGTATAATTGGATATTTAGTTTTAATAAAAAAATGGTTACAAAAAAAAGAAAAATGTTTAAAAATAATTTATTATTTATTAAATTTATTATCATCATGTGCATTTGAAATATTATTATGTATTAAATTAGAATATGAACAAAATATGCCATATTGGATTGTATTTTTACCACTATGGATTTTAATGATTTTTACTTTTAGTATTATTATACAACAAATGTATAGAACATGTCAAACAACAACGGAAAAAACTATGTGAAAATTTTTCTACTAAGAAAATAATAGCATCAATATACATATATGCAATCGCTTTGAGAAATCTCATTGAAAGTTTTCTCGTTAAATGAAGAATAACTATTCGTAACTGTCATGATGTTACAACGATCGAATGAAACAAAAAATAAACTATAATATAATTGTATATTTGTTGTATTAATTGATATAATAAATACTATCAGTTAAATAGAATATTTGGATGTTAATGAATTTCTTAAGATGCAAAGTAAAGCATACATATTGTACTTTGCGAGCTTTCTTTTCCTTTTTACTTACTAGACTTACGCATCGAAAATTATCATTTTCTATTGCAATCATCTCAAGAAAGTAGAGTCACAAAATACGTAGATAGATGATCTATTAGTGTCTGATTCATACTTCAAAGTAGATACACGTTATTTCAACGATATGGATTGATAGAGAATTCATTTCAATACTAAACTCTTATATTTGAACTCGAAAAATAGATTATATGTCTTGAGCTCTTTACACTTGTTACGCTACAAATAGCAGAAGTAAAAAAGCTTATTACAATCCCATCAACAGTCGTACATAGAGCTATGATAAGCTTTTGACTACTACAATTCATAGTATAACAAAGGTATTCTACAAGAATTTCCTAAGAAAATATATTCCCTAGAAATTCACACTGTTAAAAAAAGAGCTTTTAGCTCCTTCAAAATGTGAATAAGACAGTACAAGAACGTCTATCTGTGGCCAGTGTATACATATGAGACGGTTGAAACAATTTGTCAACATGAAATATTTATTGAAATAGAACATCTAATCCTGTTTGTTGTGCTCTTGCTAATGATATATAAGGAACAATAAAATTAGCTAAAAATTATAAGAATTATGTAGAGCGCAAGTTGTTCTATCGAATGACGTATCATAACGAATAGTTCAGTTTAGGACAGATACATAAAAGTTTGCAAAAATACATCATGGGATACTTTTGAAAGAATAAAAAAATGTATGCTGTGATGGTATCATCAATAAAAACTAAATAGATCAATGTGTTAACCTGATCTTTTTTACTACTAGAAACTATATGATGTAATCTGACGAAAACAAGATGATTCTAGCTCATTTAGCTTTTGAAATATACGCAAAAGGATATAAAGCTATCTACAAGTTGAGTAATTGGGTGTGGATGTGAGTATGGATGATTAAAAGATCCGCACCCACACTCTTCTTCAAGAAAACAAATGAATTTTTCGAATATTTTCTAGATAGTACGCATCAACAATAGAAAATGAATTCATCATTTGAATCTCTTTCCACCGAACTATTGTTTGAATTCTTGATTATTTATCCCCATTCGATTTATTTCGAATTTTCATCAATCTCAATAATCGTCTAAATGCCATTGTTCATTCATATCCATTTCGATTAGATTTTCGACCAATCAGTCGATCAAAATTCGATTTTATTTGTCGTCATCTTCAACCGAAACAAGTTATTTCATTGATTCTTTGCGATGAATATGTTCCTGATCGAGTGAAACTTTTCCTCGATCATTTTTCAAATTTTAAAGAACAATTTGTTCACCTTCAGTCTGTAACATTGACCGAAGCCGAAACTATCACTTTCATCGATTTACCCGTATCTGTTTCATCACTATCAATCAGAAGTTATGATGCTAATGATTATAACGAAAATTGCATTAATGGAATTTTGTCTCGACAAGCGAAAGTGTTAACTTATTTAAAAATCGATAGTAAAGATTTAAAGCATCTTATTGACATTCGTTTTCCAGCTCTTACCCATTTGATTGTTGGTGGAGGGTGTTATTATGATGGTGAATATATGGATGTGTCTTCTCCATTAAAGAATACCGATGTTTATTCGTTAATTCAAGAATGGCAATGTTTTCTCACTCATCTTTATCTTGTTATCGATAATAATAGTCAATATTCAACATTTAATCTTGATCGATTCTCTCATTGTCTCACTCATCTTACATTACACTTTTACCGAGGTAAAGAAAACTAAATAAAAGTTGATTTTCATTTATCATCTGAAATTATAGGTATTCAAGTATCATTTGCATGTCTTGAACGATGTTTGATTAAATTGTTTCAATTAACAAATTTCACTTGTCAAGCAAATGGTTCATGGGATTTAATCGATGGAAAACAATGGGAACAATTACTTTTGAAAACACGAATTATTCGATTTAATTTCAAATTTAAGTTGAATTTCACTTGGGAAATTCCATCAATACTGGAACCATTTCGTTCATCATTTTGGCTTGAACAACGACATTGGTATGTCGGATGTTACCAAGATGAATCAGACACAAGCACAATTATCTATTCAATACCTCGATTTCGAATACGTACGCTTAAGTATCCTTCAGTTGAATTTTCACATATGACAACAGCACCATCGAATATCGAAAAAAGGTTTCTCTATTCAAGTAGAATCAATTATTTCTCGTGTAATATGAATAAATTAATTACACCAGTTGGTTGTCGCTTCAATCAAGTTAAATCATTGACACTTTCGGGTTCATCATTATTATCATTGAATATTCTATCATCAATTGTTGATCTTCAACAAATTCAATATCTAGATGTGGCCGATATTCATCTCTTGTTACCTGATGAACTTGAAAATCTTATTGCTCATACTCCTCGTGTCACTCGTTTATCAATGAAATTCGATCCATTGTTCATTATACCTTAACAAATCCGTTACCTTTACTGGAAGGTCTTGGTCAATCGATTTCTCTTGATAGACTTTCTTATACAATATCATCTGTTGAAAGGTTAGAGATATCCATGGCATCAAAACAAATGATCATTGATGTTATTGATCGATTCAATGGTCTGGAAAATTTTGATATATTCTTTGATGATGGTGATCTTGATGATGATTGTACGACTATTTATGAAGGTGTCTCAATTGATTGGTTAATGAAACATACGCAGCGTCTCAAGTCACATGATTCCACCTACCGATATTCCAGAGAATTCTATCCATCGATTAATTTGTCATTTGGCGACCAACGAAAAGTAAATGACAATCAAGATTAAGAACATCATTCCTATGTTATATTTTTCTTTTTTTTTTGCCTACGAAAAATTACAGAAGAAAATAAATTTTCATTTAAAACACTAGATATTCAAATTGAAAATAATCTCGCTTTAGGTGAAATTATATAGGGTGGGTGTGAGTACAACTTTGGGTGTGAATCGAGAGAAGATAGTCAAGACCTATTGAGAACGAAAAAAAACTAGACTACTTCGAATTTGAAGACACAAATGATGATATTATGATTAAAAGTGCAGAAATAAATAAGTTTGCCATTATAAAAAAAAAAAAAAGAATAACGTGATTCAAAGCAACGAAAAAAGAAAAGATATTTTTTGTTCTATTGTTTGTCTTTAAGCTGTTATCATAAATGATTATAAAGTTGATCATTTTTCTTCTGATTTTTTTTGAATTTCGTACAACATTAATGACGATAAATCATTTCTTATTAATCATGGTTCTTCAATGTTTAAATCATCATTTAACTAAAACACAAAAAACAATTCTCTAAAGAATTGTATTGAGACAAACATCTGGTATGTGGGCTACTGTGAGTGTTTGTTTTATGTACATTTACATTCTTAAATTATTAGATGTCTACTATGACCAAATGAAAACACTTGAAACTAATTTTAATGATACAAACATTATTGAACCTTTGAAAAAAGGAGAATTTATAGCTCCAAGGTATCTCCATGATAGAATCGAAGAAGAAATAATATTAACAGCTGCATTATGCACACCAATGAGTTATGAAATTCAGAAAGAAGCTTTTGGTTTAATAGCACTTAATGAATGTACTAATCTGAAAAATATTGTCCGTCAATACAGATCTCAAATCAAAATACATGAAGAGACTACCAACAAAACCTATAAAATACCTAATGCCTTAACACACGATGTTTCGAATAAATTAACAGCAGCAGCCATTACAGTACAAAAGAATGATTTAGTTGAAGATAAAGCACAGACTCAGTAAATTTTAAGCAAACAATAATAATTATTAGTTGATAATTTTCTTCAGGTCGATCTTGTTGTTGTCTTATCAACATCGCTTCAAAAAGCTGGAGAATCTGTAAAAAAAAAAGGAGTACAATACAATGGCAAAGAGCTCGCCTTCGGAAATTTTTGAAATCGATTCAGGAAAATTGCAATGTTGAAGACTCTTATTTTTAACGTGGCAAATCAATCAAACTAATCAAGAAGCATTTTATCAATCGATTCGAAATTTTGCTAGTACAGCTGTTCAATATGCCATTAAGTTTCATCATACATCAATTGCATTTCCCGCTATTAGTTGTGGAAAATATTGTTTCGATAAAAGTATTGTTGCTCATGAAATGTTAACTGAACCTCAAAGACAATTATTGTCGGCTAATGTTTTGCTAAAAATAAATTTTATCATTTTACCTGATCAAAATAATATTTTTGAAATATTTCAAGCCAAGCTAGAAAGTCTGAAAAAAGGAGAGCACACAGCAAGAAAAGATAATCATATTATATTTAATGTTACAAGTAAATATATAATGTAAAAAATCATTTCAAATTCTCTTCATTTCATTATATCTTTATTCTAGCATTGACAATCATTATTGTGTCTAATACTATAGAAAAACAAGACGCATGTAAGAAGGCTTTTGAGGATTATGTACAGGAGTCAATTTCAGTGAGTGAACAGCATAATCTAAGTGAACTAAAAAATGAACGCAACCTACTATTGATTCATTTTATACGTATTGTTCGCAACAGCTTGCTATATCAGAAATGAATATTCATACTGGTTATTGTAAATTATTTGGTTCAAAGGAATCGGTTAAAGAGGCAGAAAATGAATATTATCGACAACAAAGTGAACAGGCTCGTTTAATGGTCGTTGCTTGAGATATAATTTGAGCATTTAAAAAGAATGAAAACCATTGGGAGAAATTTTCTTCTAAATTAAATGCTCATATTGAAGATGCATTTATATCTAAACTGAAAACGGTAAGTATTAACACGATATACTGCTTATGAAACATATTATTCTCTTAGTATGAATATGATAGGATGCATGCTTACATCTGATATACATCTTGTATGAAAACTCACGTTGAAATATAAATTAATTAATATAGCTCTTAATAACTTGCCAAGATTTGCTTGAATCTGAAAAATATTGATCTCGTACAGAAGTACTTTTTTCTCTCTCAAAGTCATTGATGAAATAAGTTTTACAATTATTTTTATTATTTTCTTCTTTTTTCACTAACATGAATATGTTGAATTCGATGGATTCAAATTGTTTGAAACATTCTGAGTCTTTTTTAAACACTGGCTTATTCTGGAATGTAGCTTGTCATTATCAGGTCACTTCTGATCTTGGACGTTGACTGCTAAACCATGCACAAGTTGAAAACTAAGAATAAAAATTAGTAATGAAGTTGCAATACTAGGCTTTCTGATAGCTGTACTGATGCTAATATAGTATAGGTATATTTCATAAGATTCATCTGAGCGATTTTCTTCTCTGATCTTTTCTTATACTTGATCAATACAGGTATGCTCTTGACAGTTAAATCTCTTTTCCACTTAGAACTGTCGCAATTGGATGGTTTTCGAGAATATTGATTGATGAGTGTTTTACTTCATTTTCAAGTTTGGCTGCAGAAATGAAGGCATTTTAATAGTGAATCACTACCTTGATGACGACGTGCTCGTGTTCACTCAAACATCGATGAGTTTTTAGCTACTATAATCGATACCTAAACACGATATTACAGTGTGAAAGTTCGATTATTCCGGCTCTCAGAGTACCAAGCTTATAGCCGATAAATAAAAACTTTCAGATAGTTTCATAGAATCAATTCGTTACAGAACTTTCTGTACTACATGATTTAATATTGCTGGTGGTTTTTTTCTTTATCGTCCTAAGATGAAGTCTATATAAATATGTGTCTATCCAAAAAGAATAAAAACGAACAAGTGCTACGTTTTTCAACGCTCATAATTAGTTTTCTTTTGAGAAGTCTGAATACAATAAACAATTGTTTTTGCAGTTCAAGTACACTAACGATAAATCTGTAGAATACGAAATTGATTTCAAAAGCTGTATCGAAACATGTGTGACTACTCAACAACAACGTGAAATTATTCGACATGGTGATGTTCGTGTACCATCGCATTGGGAATTACAAATAAGCAATGTTGAACGATTTCCCTTAAATGAGATTTCAGATGAATACAAACATATTCGTGCATTATTTGATAAAATGATGGCTCAGAAATATACAACAATAATTCGTATAGAACGTATTCACAATAAGCATTGATATACACACTACAATTCATATAAAAGTTTTTCGTCAAAAGAAAACATAGAAAAACAATTATTTCATGAATGTCTACAAGAATCAGTTAAACTCATTATTAACTCGTTTTTCAATCGGTCATTTGCTGGAGTCAATGGTTTGTTTGATTTATTTTATAATTCTTTTTTGTGAAATAACACGTTTTTAGGCGTGGTATATGGACAAGGAGCTTATTTTTCAGCAAATGCAAGCTATAGTCACAAGTGCGCTAAACTTAATCAATCGAATAGTGAACGATCTATGCTTGTAGTCAGTGTAATAGTGGGTAATACTACACGAGGAAATTCTGCGATGAAAACACCGCCTGAAGGCTTCGATTCGACTACGGACGGAGACCATATCTTTGTTACATATCGTGATGATCAAGCTTTTGCAGAATATCTTATTGTTAAATTTTGTTTTCTAATCCACCAATGTGTGCCTTTTACTTATGTATGTAATATTTTTCATGTCAAATAATCAAGATGATGTTATCCTTTTCTGCAAGAATGTTGCGAGCGTTCAAAGACTGAGGGGAAGATGATTTATAAACTCATAATGAAGATAACATGGAATGTTTTCGTTGAACGAAACAAAACATTTTTTGCGATAGTTGTTCGAAGTATTTATTATGAGAAAAATCTTATAGATACGTTCCATAATATCATGAGTCAAATATTACTTCTAGTCTTCTGCTTTTTAATCATTACTAGTCTTAAGCAAATATGGAGAAGTGAATGTTTTGTAAAAAATCTTTCTCAATTGTACAAAGTATAAGCTATTTCATTTTATCATTACTCAGGATCGATCTTCAATTATATTCCAGTAACTTTAATTTTGACAAACTCCGTTCATTAGTAGCTACAGTTATGGGTGAAATAAGAAGAAATTAGTAAGAGTAGTGGTGTGGGCGTGCAGATACACCTATTCTATACCCACATGTTCATTGTCTTCTTTTTTCAATGAAAATTGAAACGATTTCGATTTCATACAATTTTTTTAAAAAAGATCTCTCATATCGAATGAAAAATTCTATCATATATCTCAACGCATCAATAGAACAATAATGTTTACTGTTTTTGTTGCATCAATTATAGTCCTATATCTACTATTAATGAAATACGTAATTAAGTTACATGCATGCTTGTACGTTGCATAGTTCTTGAAAGCATTTAATTCAACATTTTTTTTATCATGGATATACTCATATATGAAATTTGTATACATAGATGTTCACTCTCATATTTTCAAATAATTAATTCAGATTTAGTTTAATCAATCTTTATTTGTCAAACTAGAACAATATCTTAACTATATCACCAGATTATTAATAAATAGATGTTATAAATACCTATTGTATAATAATTGTTCATTGGCTGCAAACGAATATATCGTCGACCGTCATCAACTTAGACGATAGAAAACGCGCGATTGTTTTCATTGGCGTCGGCAGTAAAATTTAAACCAATCAGTATAAATATAGAACTATTGCCATTTGAATATAAACGATGCATTCAATTCTGTAATGGGTACAAGTATACAAGGTACTTTTTTTTACAAATCATGTAACATCGTTCAAATAGTCATCAAATGATCTTATCTATACATTGGATGATAAAATCAGATGGCTTAATTTTGAATTATTAGCTATGCAATCTATTCTTCTTACAACCCATTATCTTAACTTATATGGACTTGGTTTACACAACAATGATGAAAATACAACTATATATATCTATTTTGCCGTAAGAACTTCGATTTCAGTTTTTATTAAATTCAAATAATTAATCCGACCATTAAAAGCTTCTTTTACCCTAGAATACTTTTGTATATGACTTATAATTTATTAGAAATATGGATAAGAGCAAAATTAATAATAGGAAAAAAGAGATTAGAAATATGTTCATAGAAAGAACTTTCTAATGAAACAGGTGAATAGTCAAGTTAGAACGAAGACTTGGCAAATGAAAATATTATTTTCTTTGGTTATAAAGAATTACATATGAAAGGATCATCTGAAAAGTATGAAATATAAATATTTCATCAAAATATTTTTTTCAGTATTCAGATCGAGATAAGTAGTTTTAATCGACTTTTTTTAGTTCAGTTCTAGAAATCGACTTCATATTGACTAAATGGACGATAAATGGTTACTGATACATTTCCACCATATCGAGACAATTGTTTTAGTAAAGTTGAGAAATTTAGTCATTTAAAGCCATTCGATTGAGTATTCTCCTTGTAAATATATTGTATGAAGAGTATCTAATGCATGACGGTTTCTTTTCAAAAGTATTTGATTGCCAAAGAATCGCGAGGATTTATTTACTCCTACATGTTGGATATTGTTATTACTATGTATCGCCTTTTTTCATTGGTAAGGAACTGAGTATGCATGTTGAAGAGAATGTTTTATATAAATTGATCTCGGTTGACAGGACCTACAGGAGAGTCGGAAAGACCAATAATGAAGATGATCAGTTGCGTTTTCAAATCATTTTGTATATTTATTTAGACGAGCACTCTTACTTTCATATTTTCAAAAAAGAAATATCATCACTTATTATTAAAAATTATTGAATCTAAAATGTTTTTCATTAACTTGTAATTTGAAGACATCTAAGTATGATGAATTAATTGTGCCACTTTTACATCGCATGGCAAATTCAGAAAAACTTAATTTCTATCGTCTAATTAATCATAATACAACATTTGTTGATGGTATTGATTTGGAAAAGAATATTATTGATTATTTATTACATTTATAATAATTTCGATTTAATAGTCATCCATTTATATCTATTCATAATCAAATTATTTCTTATGTTAATTATTTTCCTAAAAGTGAAATAGGTTATTGTTCTATTTATTTATATTCATATTCAAAAAAGTAATGTATTATCATCATATTACAAATACTTTTCGACATGGATTATTTAAATACATCCATTTGAACATGAGTTTGTTATCTGAATTTCTCAATCACCTTTAGCTAATCAAGCACCACGAAATAACAAATAACATCAAGAAACAAATTTTTCGACTGTTCAATTTCTTCCTCTTACTATCTTATTTAACATTAATTATTATTAGTTGAAGAGAGTAACTCATAATTACACAAGAGCAACAACACGAAATAATTGTCTCAAATTGACTGAACTATTTCTTAATGATAAACCAGATGTTCCAAAATACATACAAGAATATAGTCTATATACAAGTATGTGTTAGTTTTCTGTTTAATTATTATTCAAATAAAAGGGATGATGGCCTCTGCTGGATGAAAAAATTTGTGTTCATCCTAATTCTTTTATTTTTAGATAGATTTATTTGGATGTAAATAAACTAAGATCATAATTGATATCAGGTAATGCTAGTTCTTAGAAGAGCAACGCTATGAATTCAAATAGTACAAAGAATTGTATGTTGAGATGAAACCGGCACGACTGAACCATCGCCGTGACACAAAACAAAATATTAGATTTTGGAAATTTTTCGAGAGTCAAGATGAGTTTTTGGGTATATTCCTCTTATAAAAAAGATAAAAAAATCTACTTGTCATCGACTTTTTTGTAATTTATTAAAATCCAACTAAGTCTGTTTGTGAATCTGAAAACTAATTTTGTAATGTGCTCGATCTAGAACTGACTGAGTTTTTTTTTCGCATTGTAACGTGAAGCATGACATGTGTGTCAAACGTTGGTCTACTGTTGTGTTTATCCTTTGTTGAGTTGAGATGTTCAAGAAACTATTGAAAAAATTCAAGTTTTCTCAATGAAAAAGCGCATTTGACGACCACCATTATTAAAACCAATCAGAAACTGAATAATTTGATTTGTATTAGACTAAAATCAGATTTTTTTTCTTTTTTTGCTGCTTGTCTAGGCTGTTATGAATCAGATCACTACCAATATTGTCTATTCTTTTAATTTCAAAATCTCTCGAAACTAAGAAAATATTAAGTGGACTCACCGAACATATTCAGCCGCCGCCTCCGATAAACTCATCGGCTTACACTTCTAATTGTATGTATACTAATAAGAAAAGACAGTAGAGACAAGAATATATCGGTTAAATAAAGTCAATGAAAGAAATAAATGAGATGAAATGATAACATAGATATATATCACATATTTTTTTCTTTGTATTTTTAGGAAAATAAATTTCAAGGAATGATTTATGTTATTTTTTGTTTCAGACTATTTAATTGTTGCTATTATTGGTGTTGTTTGTATAGAAGAAGAAACAACGTAAGTTTTCATTTTACATATAAATTCTTGAAAAATCTCTTTTTTTTCCTTGTATTTCAATCATTTTGTAACATTTGTTCAAAATTATTATATTAATAGTTTGAAAAAAACAAACTAATAAAGTCAAAAATAATTATTGTTCAAACTAACCTTTTGTTTGATAGAATCAACTTTTATTGATTCTTTTCTATTTGGTTCTTTATTTTGTATTAATGCAAGGTAGAATAGTTCTTTTGCAATTTTATTTAATGTTTTTTTTTTATCTCTAGAAATTTCAAAATTATTCTAAAATGCTCAATAAGTATTTGATCAAACAATTGAATATTATCAACAAATTAAATTATATTAAACACACAGATAAATATGATTTTTTTTTCTATTAAAATTGTATCATTAAATGAATTTAGATCGATTTGGCAACTCGTTGAACTCTATTGGAATACAATCGATTACAGTTAATAACTCAGTTCGGTTTCAAAGTATCGAAGAGAAAAAAAGAAAATTGATAAAAATGTCTTGAAAATAACATAGATCATTTTTTTAAAATTTTTATGAATACTCTAAAATTGTTTTTATTACTTATGAATTTTAATTAATAATTTAAAATTTTATGCATAGTTTGTTGATGCTGATGTAAATGAACACTTATGAATATTATTATTATTAAATTTTCTTATAGATAGCAATGGAAATGTTTCCATTTCTTGAAACTATTTTACATTTATATGCAGACAAATACGAACATTATAGAGAAAAGTTGATCGTTTTGGTTCATTGGACTTTTTTAACTAGGTATTTTGTAATTCTAAAGAACGATAAAGTAAGATACTGTTTTCTGTTTTCAATCTCAGCTAATTAAATTTATTATTTTTTAGAATAGTGAAATTATTGATTGGATAAAAAGCGAGAAAAATTCAATAGATATTCATTATTTTCGAGAAGATTTGTCCATACAAACCGAACAATTTTTTGATGACGAAAATTTTTTTATTAAATTCAAGATGGAAAGTGCACAGACACATAATAAATCATCTTCAATTCTTTTTTCTTCTAATTTTTAGGATGAAAATAATCAATTACTTATGCATTTTCCAGTAAATGATTATATTAATGAAAATGATGGGTAATTTTATGAATCCTTTATTGTAAAAAAAAAATTCTTTTTTGTGTAGGTCTTTAAAAGATTTTGATGAATTCATAATAAAAATAAAAAACGAAATTTATGCATTATCACAACGAAAAGTAAAGATCGATCAAAATAAAGAAAAAGAATTACAACAACAGCAAAAGTAAGAATAATGAATATCCTTATTTAATATTTATTTTTTGTTTTAGAAATGATAGTCAAATATAAATTTCATCATCATTATCATAAAAAGATATTGTCTATCTTTAATTTAAAAAAACATTTATCATTTCATGGTCAAGTTTCTACTTTAGATATCGATAAATAAATATAAATAAAACAATTAAATTTAGTTCTGTCTAAATGAGTATTTTATTCATTGAATATTAGCAATTCTAACTAAAAAAAATGATAACAATGATCTAATTCATATAGATTATTTTATCTTTAACTAAACATTTTCAATTCGATTGTCTCAAATAAATATTTATTTGTTCTTCTGCTATTACTATTTTTATATGTAGGTCTTTAACGAAAGATATAGCTTGCTTAATGATTTTGAAACCAATTGAGAATCGATTAGTTTAATTAAAAACCACTGTACATTTCTTTCTTTTTTTTGGAATATTCAGTCAAAATTTTTGCTAGATAAAAATTAAATCGATAAATTCTATCCAATGATGTGTGAAAAAATGATAAGTAGACTTTCGGATAATTATATGCTCACATTCATGTGTTCGACGTTTTATTTTTTGTGTTATACAAATAATAAATGATGTTTTTATGAAGAAAATTTCATTATTCAATTATGTTTAGTAGTACAAAAGTTAATCAATTTGACGCAGTATTCATTTGGAATATTAAAGAATTTTTCGAACAAGATTAATTTAAGAAAAATATTTTTTTTGTAATTTAGGCAAAAAATAATGATATGGATGTGGATGTTAGTGGTCGTTTCATCCGAATTCACAACCACCTCTACTCACATTCTAATTGTTTTCTCTTTTTTTTGTATGAAAACAGTTATATTAAAAAATAAGAAATGATTATGATGACGATTTTTTTCATCTTATTTTCTCATGAAAATGATCATATTTTCAGGTATGTTTTCCACATCATGGACTTTTTCCAGCAGAATATTTAAATAGAATGTTTAATAATATTGCTGGTTATTTGATTGATATTCATGCTGCTATATTATCTGTTTCACTCATCCTACATTGTTGTTCAATAAAATCATTTGTTATTTGTTCATTACCAATATTTAATTGTGGAATCGAAAAACTTTTAAAACAAAGAATATTTATTGAGAGGACTAAATAAAGTACGTCATATTTCAATATTAAAATATGTTCAAGGAGAAGTAATTCAGATGAATGTAAAGATGTACGAGATTTTGATATAGTTGCACTTTGATATCGAGTAGTTAGTGTTGAATTTTCTACCGTACAACTCGAGCATGTACATGGAATATTTGCTAGATGATAAGTAGCAAATACAGGTTATTAACATTGAAAACAATGGAATGGTCAAAGAACAGATGGTATTGATGCAGATGATGATGACTCAACCTCTCCTAAAATAATATTAAATTTATGACCAGCTAAAATTAAATAGAGATCTAACAGATAGTTTTCTTATGTTGACTTTGTGGCAATGTTGTTAAAACGACTTGAATCAAATAACTAATAAATTGAACCTATATTCATTCTAAATAATGTTGATCTGAAAGTTTTTTTCAATACATAATTAAGATACATAAAAATGAAAAAACCCAAAAAGAAATCGAAACCTCATTTTTATTCTTCTCAATCATATTTATTGTTTGACAGATATTTTTTTATTAAATTTTATGCAAGTTAATTTGTATTCATTTTTGTAATGACTCAAGACTTTTTTGTTGAAAAATATGTATTGTATTTCTATCGATCATTTACTGTTCATCTTTATTACATAAGAAACAATTTTCGCCATGTCATATAGACAGTACTGAAGAGCAAGCTCATAAAAGTGGAAACAATGCATATAGTAGCCAGATTTTGTTTCGTATTACATAAAATAAAAATGAATAAGCATTATACAAAAAAAAATGAATCATTTATCTGTTTCAAAAATTTGTATTTCGAAGAACTTAGAAACATTATGATACTATCTGAAAATAAGAGAATTATAGTAAGAATTATCAATAATTTTAAGTACTGTCAGAAGAAGTAAACAAAGTTGCTATAATGGATAGGCATGAGTTGAATACTTAAATACCAAACAATATAGACGTATTTTAAAATCTACTTGAAAATGAACTATTTGTCAAACTTTATTTTAAAATCATTTATATAAAATTTGAATATTGATGTTATTATATATAAATAATGTAGAAACCTTTATGTTGTTGGACATCAGAAGATGTTCAATCATGTTTAACACGTATTAGGGTCTGGATATGACTCTTTCCGTCACCCCACCCACACTCATGCCCATTCATAAGACTTTTCATCATATTAGACTTATTGAGGCAGCTGATTCTGTATCTACTTTTTATGGTGATCAGCGGGGAAAATACCGATATGTGGAGAAAGAATGTGGAACCACAAAACCAAAGCAAAATGATCAAAGAAAAATGTTCAATAGAAATATAATAAACTTTCGGATTTTTAGCATATCTATCTCATCTGATGATAATATTTGGAAATACTATTGAAAGTGATTCTCTTGCAATATAAAAAGATAAAAACATTCTCAAAAGAATTCAGACTTAGCAAAAATTTAGTATTATATAGTGAGTGTGTGGATGTAAGCAACAGTGTAGTAGAGAATATAACTGTACACTGATAACCACATCTACATCTCGCATGTGAATGATTCATGTAAAAGCACTGATAAATGTATTCTTTTTCTTCTCTTCTAATTATATAAATTAAGCATGACATTCATTACGCTTAAAAACGAAAGATGAAAATCGTGTCGTCGTAAGTTGTCATATGTAATTATTTGCATGTGTTTCGTTAATTCAGAAGAGTTAGTCAACCAATCATTCTTGCGCTCTCTGCATACATTAACGACAGGTAATATTCAGCATGTGCAAGATGAGAAAATATTTTTTTTACAGACTCTTCTATTTTGATGCTTGTTTTTTTTTTTTCTTTTGAGTGAAGAGAAACAAATATATGCATCAGTGATCACTATTTTAAACACGGATAGTGAGTCTATTTTCTTCACATTATTTTGAATTTTTTACATTCATTTAGATTTACAGCTAGTGTAGTAGCCAGATCTTGCTCCATTCCGACTTCTCTGAAGCATTATTCAATGGTAACTATGGACAGACTATTTTTATTTAGCCTATAGAAAATTTAGATGATATATTTTCATATGAGAGCTCGTTGACCTAATGAAAAGCATGATTCAAACTTCTATTGCACTTTCGTTCTTACAAATAGGCAATAAGATCTGTAATTTACTAATCATCAAAAAACATGTAAAATGTCTCATATTTTTTTATATGTTTTTGATACAATATAAAACTTTAGTCCTAGTATTAGTATTGACTTCAACGTTGCTTCAATAATTCTTTATGTAGACACAATATTCCCTGCAAACATACTCATACCCTCATACTATTTTAGCTGAAGCATGACAAAGGTTGTGCGAATTTAGGTATAGGTCTGCATTATGGGCGCTGGTTCTAGTTGTAAGCATCTGATCTTGTAACCCGTTAATCTTTCTTGGTCTTTCGATGGACTTTGTCGCTTGTAATGTCTAGTAATCTATGGTTCTCGCAGGAAGTTCTTGGTAGAGTCTGTAAATAGTTGTCGTCTATAGAATGCAAAACATTCGAACTACGTTGTAATTCATTTTCGCCATGGATTCGAGTAGTTTTTCTAAACGACAATAGATATTATCGACATTTAGAAGTAAAATATTCAAAAAAAACTTCTTTTCTCTCAACAGATCAAGTAAAAATATCATATTGACACTTCCCTTTAAAATCTCTTGATTTTTATAGATATCATTAATTAGTCATATGAGAGATGCTTTTCGTTAACTTTTATTTCTTCATAGATTGAAATAGTCTCAATCGATTGCTCACTCTCTACCAAGAATGTATTCGTTCATGAAAACAGAAACGAAAACTCAATTTCAATTGCAACAAATTCAGAGAACTATCACAATAATATGATTGATCAAAGAAAAACTCGCACTAGCCAACGGACTACGTATGACTTCTTGTTTCGGTGTTACATATGATAGTTTTTGCTCTTTGCTAGAAAATATTGGGGGGGGGGGTGTGGGTGTGGGCGGGGTTGGGGTGTTGGTGTGGATGGAAGAGAGGCTCTGCTGGAACCTACACCCACCTCCACACAAACACACATATTCACATCCGCAGCTACATCCACATGCACACCCACACCCCACACCCATATCCACATCCACCCACATCCACATCCTCCCACACCCACACCCACACCCACATTCACATCCACACCTACACCCATACCCACACACACCTACCAACAACCCACACTCACACCCACTCACAACCCACAGCCAGACCCCACACCCACACCTACACCCACACCCACACCCGCTGTGGGCGTATAGGTGGATCAGGTACAAAACATTATTTTCAGAAGAAGTATTAGATTTTTTTAATGTTTTATTTATGCTCGGTAAACTTATTCGTTTAAACACTGCTTCACGTAACGAGTTTTAGAGAAATTCTATCGATAGTTATTGTTTTACTGTCATAGAAAACTTAAAATTAGCGATCTATAAAACTATACTCTTTTTCGTTTCATCTTTTAATTCTAAAATAAATTTTCGTTTCAGTAAAACACTTATCTATGAAACAGCTATTTGTCCACAATGGTATTGATGATGCAATTAATAATATAAATCGTGCATTAGGTGATAATACTGCATCAAAATTATCAGTTATTATACATAGTTCATCTGATATTATTGTAAATGATATTAAACAAATTGAAATTTCTATTACTAAACTTCACAAGCTTTTGAATGATATTGTACAAATAAAAGATAATTCTTTAGAGAATAAAAATTCAGTATTATTAATAAATATTCTATGGAAAGAACTTTCTTAAGTAAATACCTGACAAATATAATTAGTTCAAAAGTAAAATAGAAAAGTTTTCTTGACATATTGAACGTCTATAATATATGCAAGAAGAAATAAATAAAGAATTTGCCGTAAAGCAAATAAATGATTTTTTTTTTCAGAGCTTTTATTTTCTTTCAGAACGTTCAATTGATATTAAACAACGAGTATTAATCAAAGGACAAGAATTAATTTAATTATTTCATTCAGGGTATAGGTGTGGAAGTGAATGAAAGACTTTGCCTCATACTAGCACCCTACCTACACCCATATCCACATCTCAACATCGTATATCCGTAGTATGTGCTTTTTGTTTGAATGAAAACCAGACTAGAATCATCTGTACAAAAGGTGTAACACGGATTTCGATTTTTTTCAAAATACTTGTTAGACCCTTGTTTAACGTCATATAAATGAATATTCTTTTGGATTTTATTCAAACCTATAGTTTTATTATTCTAAAGTCTGAAATGATTACTTAATGAATGTTTAATAGCATAAAAGAGTAGAAAAGAATTGATTATAATAAAGTTATATCGTTTGAGGACAATTTTGTTTCTAATCTTGTTTTTTTAACTATGGGCAAAGGTTTGAATATGATTGATATTCTTTATTTTATGGAATCTCAAAACTTGTTATTAGCAGCATTTACATTGAATAGTAATTAACCCGTTGAGAATCATGAAACATACGGTATCCCATCTATTTTCTAATAGAGAAAATGTTTGCCTTCCATTAGTGTTATAACCAGTAAGATAAAAGGTCGTCCCATCTATCAGCTCTTGCATATACTTTCTCTCTTTCCTCCTGTCGTATAAGGCCTTCTCATATGCTCTCCTTTCTTTCTGCTACTATACACTGACTTCATGGCACTACTCTTACTTTTCTTGATGTGCTATCATCAGGTTTCTTTGCAGCATTTTGAATCAAATACAATAAACTGATTGAAGAACCCATTTTACATTGAAAAAAATTCCGTCCTCAAAGGTTCCATAACACATTTTTGCAGTTATTTTTAAAGCAATTTCAATCAAAGTGTAATCTTATAGTCGATTTATTATCTGATTCTATAGTACTAAGTGCCTTCACTTTGATGGATACGATTGCGCAAAATATTCGTGAATTTGCTGATTAATTCACTTGTATCTAATATATACTTCACATGTACTGTCATACAGTTGGACAAAGATAAACAAAACATTGATTACAACAGCTCCTATTATGAAAACATAAACGTGGTCTTTTTATTACTCTTGAGTCTGATGATATTGTTCATATTGCTGCCCGTTTCTTCAATAAGAAGAAAAAATAATATTGGTGATATTTTGATACATAATGAGTATACATGTTGATTGATGTGACTCAACGTACATCCGACGGTCATGACAAGTTGATAGTGTTCTCTGTCTGTCTTTGCTGGTGATCACTTTCTCGATGTATGGTATCATTTTTAATATGACCATGAAATATATATCCAATTGCTGGTTGTGAATACCCATAGATGTGGAAAAAACATTTCGCTGGAAAACAAATATTTTGCAGATGTTTTTATTCCTTTTCCTTTTGATAAATACTTTAAATAAAAAGTGATAAGTAATAGCATACGGCACATCATTTTATTCAGCTTGTATTCAATAATAAAATTTGTCTTCGTCGTTCCTAAAAAAGTGCCTTGTAAAAATCATCAAAATATGTTTTTTTTCCTGCTATTAGTCATTAAAAAAATTTGTATTTTTGATTAAATTGGCAAACACAACCTAAATTGCAGAAGTACTTACTTTAATTTATCATTGATTATTGTGCTATATATGTTAAACTTCAAAAGTTGAGCTAAATTCAACATTCAATTCTCAAACACAAACATATATCTTTGTAAGCGTGAGCAGCGCAAATCTATAGATAATTGAAAATTGAACCTTGAGTAGAATACAACTTTCAAGTTTGACACTAGTGAAAATTATTGACAATTGCTTTAGTTTTGAGTCTTCATATGTAGTCGCAATGAAAATACATGACACGGAGAAAATCAAATATTAAAAATTACTTCACTGTTGGGTGCTGAGCGAAGCTCGGATTGAACATAAGTGAATTTTTCAATATCTGGTATTGAAGGCATTTTTACAGTGAATTTTGATGCGACAAGCACTTTGCAGCGATCTCTACTTTCTTATTTCATTAAATCTCGCTAAAAAAATAACCTTATTGAAAGATATTGAGACGTGCTCTTCATAAAACACGGTTCATACTGTCGTTGTATGGCTTTTGCCAAAGATAGATCACATTTATATTACTATCAACCAGACAAAATAATTTCGATGCACATGACTTACTAAAAGCTTGCATATAAGTCAGGCACGCGTTCAAACGCTTCTCTATAGATAAGAATATTGAGAGATTAGGAAACATGTTGACATATGCATGTGTGCAAACGCATGAGAAAAATGTTTGTCTAGGAAATAGTTTTGCATGCTTTTTTTACTCAAATATCGCATGTTGAAGTGAATAGGTGTCATTTGGCGTATAAGCAAAGGAAGAGAAATATGTCTGAAGATCGACCACAACCGTCGACTCTTTCAACAGGCACTAAGAAGAGGTTCGTATCAGTAAATAGTTCATTATATAAATGATTGCCTCATTTCATGTTTAGATATTCTGTCTTCATCAGCTTTGCGATTATTAGTGGAGTATGCATGGTAACAACGACCATTGTCGTACCTATCGTTTTAACTAGAAGAGACACTACAAATGGTATGCTATTTTTGAAAGAAAAAAAATATATGATAATGTGTTTATCAAATGGAAGGATCATGATAGATCAGCAATTTTTCAGCATGAAAAAAATGTTGAGATGCTGACAGATGTCGAAAAGATGCGGAGACACTAGAAAGTGCTGATATTGGTGTTTCGATAAAAATTATTGAAGGAATTAAGTCAAAAACTATCCATAAACTTTTATATATGAGAATACTGTATTAGTTGTTTTTGCTACTGTTGTTTCTTTTCCATCTATTTCTGAATCATCATTCTAGTGGTGAGAAGTTATTTTTATTATGAGAGGCTTCATGCAAAAAGTCAGCATTCAACCAGAGGAGTATAATATGATCGATTTAGAAATTTTAATCCGAATATATACATTCGATAACTAGTATTGGAGAATTTTAGTAGCCAAAGTTTTAGTCGAAAAAGGTGTCTTTTGACCATAATATGATCTTTTGCTTAAAGCCGACTTTCTACCAATTTCTCCAGAACAAACTGTGTTCTTCTCCTTCTCGTTTTTCTTCCTCTATTGATCTATTGTTGTGAATAACTCCTTATTCGATGTAACAAAACCATTGAACAACATGCAGTATTTTCCATTTATCAACCATGATATTCTCGCTATCAACAACGCTACAAGCCATTTCTAATCCGGAAATGGAAGTAATAAATTTTGTTCAACACAACCGTGAAGGAATCTTACAGTATATAATTAGAAAACTGAACAATGTACCATAGACAGTTAGTCTGGAGTTAGAGATCGTGATAGATGTTTCATGCTATCCAGTACTTGACGAAAAACAATGTCAGACACAAAAATCAGAGGGATAATTTTTTTTCAAAAAATGTACTACTGCTCTCATGCATGTGCGTGTTATCTTATAATTTTCGAGTCATTTTATTGAAGTATGTCGTAGTCGAAAACGAACGATAAACACGATAATCATCAATTTAAAATAGACCCGAACCTCAAGTGCTTGCCACACTATTGATGCTCGTGACGATAAGTGACCTGATCTTTTTCTCGCTCAAAATCTTCAATTTTCTTTCAGGATTATAAACATCTTTCGTGATTGTTGTGGTTGAGTGATCTCAGTCCAAACAGGATCCATTGTATATTCCTTATAATGTATTTGCTCTGAGTTATTTTCGATGACGTTTCAAATAAGTAGGACTTCAAAACTGACCTGTACGTAGCTAATACATAGTCTTTGAGACTTCAATGCCAATCATTCAAGAACTCAAAGGTCATTTCGTCATTTCAAGCGATTAAGTAGCCATATCGTACTGTTAATATTTATCAAAAAGTCACGATTTGGAGCAAGAGTCCTCGCCCTTTACAGTCCTTCCGCATTCTTGAATGATTGTTATCGAGGTATCAGAGATTATACGTCAGTTGCATACAGATCATTTTTAAACTTCTGATTATTTAAAACATACTTGAAAAGATCTCAGAGGAACACATTATAAGAAATACACAACGAGATGTATTTGGTCTGAGATGACTCGGACTCTGATATTGGGTCAAATGTTTGCAACTGTTAAGGGAAGTTAAAAATCTTGAATGAGAAAAAAGTCATAAGGTAGTAGCGCTAAGAATATGGCAGTACACGATGAAAATTTCATGAAAAATTCTGATAGTTGAGTAAAGCTATCTGCATTTTTCATGTATGACAGAAATCGTAACTTTCGAAGAAAAACTAATCCTTTCCATTTTTACGCCTGATACATGCATTGTGAAATGACACTTTCATAAAGAACAGCAGAGTTTTCTACCTGTGTAATGAGTGTTTGACAGAGGCAAAAGGTGTATTCTTATAGATTACCATGAGCTACACTGAGAAAAAGTTGCATTAATCACATCTCGGCTAAATCTCCCTAAAATATGGTAAACTTGTGTATGCGACCAGATGTCGACAAGGTGCAGAAACGGCTAAGAAATGAGACAGAACGGTACAGATCTTAGGTTGTATGCATTAAATTCTCTCTTGAGTTGATTGTCTTTTCAATTGTCTAAGCCCCATAGTAGGGGTGAATATATCATTAAATCGGATTTGTTCAGATTGCAAAATTTTAGCTTCTTCATTGCTATTCATAGTGGAAAGTATGTCATGCATCATGTCTCGATTTTTCTACGAAACAGTTTTGAACCGTATCCGTTGTTCACGCTAAAACTGTCCTCCTCAAGTTCTGTCGGAACTGGTAACTTATCATACATCAAAGTTCACTGCATTCGTGCCATCCATGACACTCAAAAATGAATGTAATCCAAGAGTTCGCACAAAGAATTCGCAAAGCTTTGTGAGAGCTTCATAATCTATCAAAAACTTCAACTGATTTATTTTATACTATTTTTTCTTTAGGAGGTAAGTTGTAAAAGAGATTGGTGGTTCTGCCTTTTCTTAGTATGGCAAATATAATTATAAACCTAAAGTATGTTTTTTTTTTCTTTGCGTAAGTATCAATTACAACAAAAAAGACAACTGCAACGTCTGTCATATCCACGATCATGACAACAGCAACAAAATGGATCACAACAACACCAACTAATTTGACCACAAATACGATCACAACAACGACAACCTTTTCATGTAAGATGTGTCTGATTTGATATCAAAATCTGACAAAAATTAGATAATCATCTCATTGTGTTGAGTTGATTGGTAGCTCCAGATCAATTTACAATTTAGAGCGGATAAAAGTCTGCAGTCACATGCACTTCAGCATTTTTTTATAATAGTGATGGAATTAAGATTTTGGGCTTGCTGTGGTAGAGAAGGAACTAGTTAGCCTAAACGTTTTTTTCAACTGTGCAACTCACGCTTTTTCTTCTGTTTACAAATATTTTGAGAGATAAAATAATAATTGATGATGCTTACAAGTATAGAATACAAAGGAGAATATGTAAAAGTTCCATACTTCATTAATACTTCAGAGTATTCGAAGGGTATATCAATGTTATTCTATAGAACTCTTTAGCTATTTGAAACTCTGCTATCAAGGTGCATTATGTGCATATTAATATGAGTACATTTCATATAAGTCTGTCTAACAATAATGTCCAAATATTTGATCATACTTTAGAATCTGGATGTTAGTAACGTACGATGAAGCATTTCACTTTATTACCAGACAAACTAGCATAAAATGAACTCAAACTAATTAATATGTCCAGGAAACACATGGATAATAGACTGGAAAGTGCTAAAAAGTTCTAGAGAATATATTGAACACAATTCTTAAATGTAGTGGACTAAGTTAGAAATACGGCATTTTAGCTTTCTCTCCAGAATTAATAGCACGAAAATCAATGCATTAGAAATGAATTCTTTCAATCTGGTATTCAAATTTTCCGAAAGAAATCAATATTAAAACTTCTTGTTCGGACGAATCCTCGAGAACGTTTCTTTCGAACTTTTTCATTATAATGTCTCGTTCTCGAAAATGCTGTATGAAAGAATATTCGAAGGAATTTTTCCGTTGTTCTCAGACTTCAGCGGAAACCTAGTTTTATTAATTTCATAAGTTCGACATTCAATAATAAAATTTTTCTTACGCTGAATGGCCAAGTTAAGCTTTTCTCAAAAACCAGGTTCGAATATCGATAACATAACTTTGTATTTCTCCAGCGTGTTTTGTCCAAAAAACAAATGGTTTAACACAGACGCATCAAGTTTAACAAAGCCCAATAAACAGGTTTCAATGGGCTAGGCTGGACCGAACAAAGTCAGCCCATGAGCTGTAAACCTTTGATCTAGCCTAGCCTGGACCACAGGTTCAAAAAATCGACCCATCCATGAGTCAACCATCTGATTGTAACCTTCCTTACAGATATTTTGAAGGCGTAGGTAGGGTAGTGGTTGTGGTTGTGGTTTCGGGTGTAGTATGGCTGTTGGTGGCGTGGCTGTAGGTAGGTGTGGATGTGAGTGCAGATGTTGACTTTCAGCTTAACCACACTAGCACCCACACCCATACCATTCTTTATTTTTAGAAGCATGAACTTGTTGAGAAGCTTGGACATAGTGGCAAAACGCGTTGAAATCATAGCAGCTGAAAGTTTTCCTTGGCTTTCACTGCTTTAATGGTTGCTTTTCTGTACTACAAGTGACTGAGGTATTTTGCACGAGATAGATTGGTTTTAGTGAATTTTAGATGAGATGATTTTCGGCTCGACAACAAATCTCATAACACTAATGTGTGCATTGATACTGCTAGTTCCCTATCTGTTCAAGATCTCTGTTGTTGTATGCACAAAATCTTTTTGGCAGTTTATTCCTTCGTGTAGGAAAGATATGAATCAATACTGTCAGTAGTTTTACCAGATTCGTGAAGTAACATATCGATCAATATCTTTCTCATAAGAATTGTATATAGATTTCATGTGCAAACTACTTAGCTCACGCATTGATGCTACTTTTCAGGTTGGTCGCATTCAGGCAATATGAGTATTGCACGGCGTTATCACACAGCAACTGTATTAGCAAATGGAATGGTTTTAGTTATTGGTGGAGCTTCTGATCACGATTTAGAGATTGTCACAGAACTGTATGATCTAGCCACAGGAGTGTGGATGAATACTGGCAACATGAGTGGTCAACGATCCAATCACAAAGCTTCTGTATTAACAGATGGAAAAGTACTAATTACTGGTGGAAAACATTATGGAAATGATTTAGCGAGTGCAGAATTATACGATCCATCTACAGGTTTGTGGACAAATGCTGGAAACATGAGTACGGCACGATGGCAAAACACTGCATCTACATTAGCGAATGGGACAGTTCTAATCGCTGGTGGGAAAGATAGAGAACCTCTTCTAACTAGTGAACTATACGATCCATCAACAGGATTATGGACAAAGACTGGCAACATGGCGGATGCACGATATCGACACACTGCGTCTGTATTAACAAATGGAAAAGTATTAGTTGCTGGTGGAATTGATATTCGTCCCCTTTCTAGTGCAGAATTATACGATCCATCAACAGGGTTATGGACAAAGACTGAGAGCATGAAAGATGCACGAATGTGGCACACTGCATCTGTATTAGCTAATGGAATGGTGTTAGTTACTGGTGGAAATAGTCTCGATGGTACATTATGTAGTGCAGAATTATACGATCCATCAACTGAATCATGGGTAAATACTGGCAACATGAGTGATAAACGTATTTTTCACACTGCATCTGTATTAAAGAATGGGAAAGTGTTAGTTGTTGGCGGAGCTGATCCTCGTTCTCTTTCTACTGCTGAATTATACGATCCATTAACAGGATTATGGACCAAAACCATAAGTTTGAATACTGAACGACAGTCTCACACTGCATCTGTGTTATCCAATGGAAAAGTTTTAGTGGTTGGTGGATTCAGTGGCTCGTCAAGGTTTAATAGTGCAGAACTGTATGATTCAACAACAGAAGTTTGTACAAATGCCAACAGCAAGAATACTACACAGTTATAGAATATGACATCGATACACAAAGATGATGTCTTCTACCCTGATTATCGTCACTATTTTGATTTAAATAATACAGAACTATTTTCATGAACATTATTACATTGATATGGCTTTGATTTGAGTAAAACTCTCAAGAAATTTCTCGTACTCATTAGAAACATTTGTTCTGCTCTGTAAAAAGAGAAAAATTCCTTTGTTTCGGAGCAATGTGGTCCCGGGTATGTTGGGTATGAGTATGAATGTTAGTAAAGAGAAGACGCACGCTCATACCGATCTTAGTTTGTCAACAACATCTTGCTATTGTTTAGTTTCTCGTTTAGATTCAGCTTATGTAATTTGAAATAAATATTTAAACGAAGAAATATTTTATTCAAAGCAAATAAAAAGCCTTGATTTCAGTTTTTTAACATTTAAAAGGAGATTCTGATTTTATCTTTTAATATAAAAAAATCATCAAAATATGTGCTCAGAAACTTGAATGAAAAATTTTGCTAGAATAAAAAAAACAGAAAACAAATGTAGAAAAACATTGACAAAATGATGAGCTAACCATATTGAATAGAAAAGGAATTTTTATTTTTGAAAAATTCATTTTTATCTCATAAATAAACTTATGATGAATATTTAGATGAATCTTTCAATGATCATTTTCTTCTTGTATAGTGAAAAAAAGCATCGAAAAAGGACGAAGAAGATGAGATGATTTCTGTGACGTGTATCAATATTGAAGAAGAGAAAAGGTCATTAAGTACGAATAGGAATAGGATTCATTCAGAAAAGATTCTTTTAAAAAGGGTGTTAGGAGGTTGCATTAAATCTGGACAGATCATCAAATATGTGTGAGCTTTCGCATATTTGTTATCCATGTTTTCCTTTTCGGTGAAACACAGTCTAAAGTAAATGTTGAAGTGTACAGATAAACATTTTCACCGAGTCCATCTCTAGAGACCGATGTACACCGTATATGAAAGACTTATCACAATTTTGGATTACAATGTAGATAATAAGAAAATGTGTCCTAAAATAGATGAAACAGAACGATCTTCTTGTGATTAGCAATAACAGCTGTGCATTGTGTTTCATATTTTAATCTAAAATTCATAATGTGAACAATTTTTTTCATAGAACTTCGTGCGAAATTTTCAACTTGTTTTCAAGAGCATTTTAAAATAGAAAATAAACTGAATGAGTCAGTTGAATATACGTGAGGATATTTTTTTATCGAGCAGTTATATGAACTTTATTCGATCCTCTAACAGAACTGATGCTGAGTTCTTTTTATACTTTTATTATTCTTTGCTAGATAATATTTTTGGACGATGATGTTGTTTTTTTTATAAACATTAGGTAAAGTTTTTCAGGATCGAAAAATTCAAATCTTTAATTGATTTTCAGCAACTCCTAGGCACATATTTAGGTCAGTTAAAAATTTACTTTCTGTAATTTAGTTTATTTTAAATAGTTTTCTTCTGTTCCGAGAAAACCAATTAAAGGTTCTTATTCATCGGCCACTGAAATTTTCAATCGAGTTCCAGTAAAGTGCCATTATTTTCCTAAAAACACTTTTTCCGCTGGAAGAAAATCAAATAGACATCGTATGACTTCCATTCATAACTGACACTTTGTATTGAATTTTGGTGCTCGGAGCTTGCAGTTTTTTTCTTCATTTTCTGTACATTGAAATATTTTGTATTAGAAAATCAAAAACTTTGCAAAAAGTTAAATACGTTTTGCAGAAATAGTATGTTTGAACAAGTACCCCTTTCTGGAAATTGATTTTTATACTGATCTGCCATAAGAAGTGTGATGAAATCGAGGAAAACTAAACAGAAGGAAAAAGAAATGAAAAAACGCAATTTTCACTTAGACGTCTTTTATAATGAGTCTTCAATAGAAGAAAGATGAAACATGAAACAATTTTACAAATGGACGATAGTCAATCTGATATTGCAAGTAAGTATTCAAGCGTAAAATTTTTTTTTAATTAAAAGAAAGATAAAACAATTTCATAATATTACTATGAAATATATTTTCTAAAAGGATTATTTTATGAATATTAAACATAAAACAAACGAAAAAATGACTTCTTAAAAAAATCAATTAAATTACTTTTGATTACTTTCAATAATTTAAAGATTTATTTTATAAGACTCTTTTTCTATGATTTAAATTGCAATTAATAATAAATTTTTTTAAGTGTCAAATTCAATCAATATAAATGATGATAAATCAAAAAAGAAATAAATCATAATATGGAATAAGAATCACTTGATCAATTATCAAAAGATAAAGAAAAAATTGATGGCAAGTGGTTTGGATTTTGTTCAATGCAAGGATATCGCCCATCAATGGAAAATTTTCATCAACATTTAAAACATTTAGATGATCATTATTTGTGAGAAACATATTCTTATTTTGCTATATTTAATGGTCACTCAGGTATTCAATAGATTAAAACTTAATATTTTTGTTTTTTTTAAATTAATATTATTTATTTTAAAGGTACTGCTAAGTACATTATGCATCTGATTATCTTCATATTCATCTTCTCCATGAATTTAATCGAATAATTAATCGAAAAAAAGATCAATCCGAACATGAAAAATTAATCGAAGAGAATTTCGCCGTGCAATTAAAAATGCTTTTATTAAACTTGATAAAAATTTAAGAAAAAATGATTATGATAATTGGGGTTCTGTATGTGTAAGTCTTTCAATTAAATTTATCTTGTCATTTTCCTCCTAAAAAAACATAATGCGCAAATAGATTGCTTGTTTAATTGGTCCAAAACAAATCTATTTAATAAATGTCGGTGATGCTCAAGCTATAATTATTTCAGACAATGGAGAAATATTAGCATCTGCTCATGGTAATTATTTTTTATTTATTTATTTGATTTATTTTAGTTTTCATGAATCATTAGACCATACGCTAGATGATCCAAATGAAGAAGAACGTATTCAAGAAGCAGGTGGTAAAATAACACGAAAATCACCAAAAGATATTTTACGTGTTGAACAACGTCTTGCAATGAGAAGAGTTTTAGAAGATTTTACTATTGATAAAAATATAGTATCACCTATTCCTGATATAATTATTTATTCTCGAAAACCATCTGCAGCATTTATTATTCTTGCATCAGATGGTATTTGGCATGTTATGTCGAATGAACAAGCTGCTTCATTTGTAATTCAACGAATATCGACAACAGACTTACATGAGATGGCATCACAATTGTTAGATCATTGTTTAGAAAAACGAAGTCGTGATAATATGAGTGTATATATCATTCAAGTTTAAATCATGAAGAAAATTGCATAAATAAAATTTTTTTCCATCCTTTTTCAATATAAACTTGCATACGTTGTTTTTCTTTTGTTTGATTGATCCCATAAGGAACTATTATTTCAAGAAATAAATAGACAAAACCATTTTATGCATTTTACCTAATTCTATTCTTCAATAATCATACAGCTATAATTTTCCCATAATAACGAGTGCTGCTAAAGAAAGTTTGGAAATATGTACCAATGTGAAACTAACCAACATTTTTGAACTTACTCTTTCCAAATTCTTGTTTTTCTATTGAAATACTTCATGAAATTCTTATATGGATACCAACATAAATGAAGAAACATTTCTCATTGTGTTATGTCACTACTTTATTTTGAAAAGATAGAGTAACTGCGTGCTCACCTTCTCCAAAAAAAAGCTAGGAAGCACGTATATATAGTGAAAGAAAAGTTGGACTAGTCAGGAAAGAAGTTGAGAGGCTTCTTCGGCTGATTGAAAAATGAACAACAGGAAGAGTTACAAAAAAAAGACGTCAGTCAAGAAGGATAGGTCAGATTGGCAGGAACGTATATGTAACAATTGAAAAGAAAAGAAGTGAAACACTATGTAACAGTAAACAAAGGAAAAATGATGAAAGAAGCCCAGAATAACATAGATCACAGGTACCGAAGATAGAAGAGAATATCATACACTAAACGAGTGATCGACCGTGTGATATATGGTAAACCAAATGGCCAATACATAACACATTGTTAGAAAATTAATTTTTGTGCTTTTTTTAGTTCAATAATATCGTTCGTTTTGTGTAAAAACTCTTTTAATTAGAAAGCTTATTTTGACCTTAGATCCTAAGTAGTTTCATTTCTCGGAATTATGAAGATTTAAGTGAATATCTAAATTAAAAGCTTTCATCAAAATCATTATCGTATGCGTATTGCAATGATCGAACAGTTCTGGGTGTGGGGTGTGGGTGTGGGTGAATGTGGGTGTGGGTGTGGGTGTGGGTGGGGTGTGGGTGGTGTGGGTGTGGGTGGGTGTGGTGGGTATGGGTGGGTGTGGGTGTGGGTGGGTGTGTGGGTGTGGATGTGGGTGTGGGTGTGGGGTCTGGGTGTCAAGTGTTTCTTAAGGCACACTCACACCCACACCCACCCACACTCACACTCACACCCACGCACACCCACACCCACCCACACCTACACCCACACTGACAGCCACACCGACCCACACCCACACCCACCCACACTCACACCCACACCCACACCGACACCCACACCCGCCCACACCCGCACCCACTCACACCCACACACCCCACAGTCACAGCCACACCCACACACCCCACAGTCACAGCCACACCACACCCACACACCCCACAGTCACAGCCACGCCACACCCACACACCCCACAGTCACAGCCACACCACACCCACACCCACGATACTGCTTCTTTGAGCCTCATCTTGTCTTGCTAAAGATCTATTCTAACAACGAAGATCACTACTGAAAACCAGCAATCCAATGACGATTTCGATAATCTTGAAAAATCATACTCGCGACAGCTTGAAATATTCCTGTCAGCAAACACCGATTCATACACAACTACAACACAACTGAGGCCACTTGATAAGATTGAGTTAGTAACATCGAAATAATCTATACATAGGTTATCGTGGTAACTTTTACACACCCTTAATTTTATCGATTTTTGTCGACAAATTTTAAATCAACTTAGAGATACTAAGCCACTTGATGAGACTATCTAAACAACAGTCGAAACGCGTCGTGGTAGCTTCTACACACCCACACCCTCAAGATTATAGTTAGAGTTAATACTATTATTGACAATTTTATATGTGCAAATGTCAAATATATTAATTATTGTATCTATCACAATATAATTCAAATGTAACTAATATTATACAGAATTATATTCCTATATAGATATAATATTAAGCTACTACTTGTTGAAGTTCCGCCAGGACAGAAACAACTGTTGTCGTGGAACGGCGATATTTCTTATCACACCCTTATCAACTGAATGTAGTCTGAAAAGCATTTTTAATTTGAGGGATATTCAATTTGCCCTGTAATATCGGGATTAGAAAATTTCTGTTAGCAGCAAATGTAAAACTGCAAATCGCATTAGTAATATTAAAAAAAATGTAAAAACGGAAGAGAAATTAATCTAGTAATACTGACTTTGACTAATAAGTATAGTAAGATAAAAGTTAATATGTATGCTATTGCAGTTTGAAAGACAACTAAGCACATTCTTCTTATTGTCGTTAACGTGCTAATCTCAGGAGATATTTTTTACTTCTGTGCCGAGAATTTCTACAGTTCATTGAGCTTAGAAAGTTGGAGAACACTTCAGATTTATTCATTGTCGTAGCAGTTATCCATTCGGTTATCACATCATGAAAGTCTATTCTCTGCAAAACATTCAAGTTTTTAACACTTTTCTGTTGAACCTACTGTTCAAGATGTTCTAGTTTTCAGTCAATCGATTGGAAATTTATATTCCAAGAAGTGTAGATCAAATAGTGCTAAGTTCGATAAATTAAACTAATTCTCAGGCCAAAAGCAAATGATCTTCTTAGAGAATTCTCTCAACAGTGTTTCATGAGTTTATTACAGTCAGATTATTTATAAATTGAACCCATTGTACTACGAACTAAATTGATGAAAAAATTCATCTGCTAGGAGATGGCTCGCACCAACTTCTGTATATTGTTCGAGTTGCTTGAATATTTCCTGAGTGACTAATTTGGCTTCACTGTCAGCAGCATATATTAAGTAAGGACCACGAGGCTGTAGTCGACGCATTTGTGTGATTGTCTCATGTGCATGCTGAACCTTTGTAGACAGATTAGTTGGAATTTTAAGCACGTGAATCGTGTATGTATCAGCAAATTGTTGCAAACGCTTGTGAAAAGATGCAGTTGTGCTCTCAGTACAGATACAGAAAACGGTCGGTTGTCCAGTTGTACCTAAGAAAATCTTCGCAACTTTTTCAGTGGTCATGTATGATGACACATGATTCACAGAAAGCTCTCTCGTCACAGGTGTAGTTGTGGCCATGCTCGTTATATTATTCAAAAATATCGTGTCGGGTTCTGACCGAATAGCTAAACGTTCCTTCAATTTGTCGTACACTTGATTGGCAATCATCCGAACAGAAATACCTTGAAAAATATTAGCTAACGGAATATGTACGTTCCATTTGTCAGTGACCCAGTTATAAAGGGAGATAGCTGCAAGCGAGTCTATACCTTGTGACATAAGAGAGCAATTGATATCAATTCGATCGATACTCAAGGATCCTAGCAGACGCATCACAGTAAGTTGCGTTTGTTGAGTAATTGTCTCGATACTAATGTCCGATTCCAACTTTGCGCTTCTTCCTGCAACTAGAGAATTAGTCACCGCATCTATTTGCTTTTCGACCAGTTGAGCTAACTGGTATGTCGGTAATCCAGATTTATTGGTACTTAAGGTTTGCCAATTAACTGCAAAAATAATAGGGCAAGGACAACTTGCCTGTTTGGCAAAGAGACGTTCGACTAACTCAAAGGTAGCCAGAGTGGGTAATGTCTCAAAGCCTTGAGAAGAATATAAGCTCATTAAATTATCACGTTGCCTATGGAACATGCCTGCACCACTTACGATTGGTAGACTGATCGAGAGAGCAGATTGTTGAAGATGTTGACTACGATAGTGTGCAAGAGCATCGAGGAATTCATTTCCTGCATTATAGCTAGCCGATCCGAGATCTATCATATGATTGCGAATGGATGAGAACATCACAAAGAAATGCAGGGGTATTCCAATAGATTGCGCAGCTCGATGAAGATTCCATCCTCCACATACTTGAGGTCCCAAAACACGCGCAAGTACTTTCCCGTTGAGGTTGGCTAATAATTTGTCTTCCGAAACAACGGCACTATGGATAATGCCTCGTACTGGGTATGGTGTTTGGCTAAGATGCCTCATAACTTGGTATACATCGTCAAATCGAGTCACATCTACTTGGACCACATCGATGTGAGCACCATATTCAGCCGCTATCCGTTGGAGTTGTAACCAGTCTTCTAATTGTAGATTATTATCATGGTGTTCGAACTGAGCACAGGTGCGACGACTCATAAGAACCAGTCTCTTGACACCATGCTTTTCGATCATCCAGCGAGACATGGTTAGTCCAAGTCCACCCAATCCACCCGAAACGAGAATAGTTCCCTCATCGCATATCACTGATGGAAACATAGTTCCTACAAATAAACAATGATGAGAATATTCATAATATACTTGAGTACATCCATGCGATCTCCACCACTGTCACAAGGAAATCTTTTTTTTCACTTTTCAGTTTCAATTAGACTTAACGTGTCCAAAAATGGCCTATCATCGAAAAAAGAAATTTAGTTTATCTTTAAGATTCTGATGTTTAGTTTATTATTTAGGAGCAATTGCACTTACATATATTTGTGCTGAATCATTACACTTTATAGTATAGCCAATAAATACGTTTGACTCTAAGCGAAATCCACCTTAGTCTCAGCCTTTTTTATTTGAAAATTGTGTCATCAATAGAGCTCTTAACGTACTAAAATTTAGTATCAACCAAAGGTTAATTTATTCATGTTTTATACAGATTTCGAATGGAAATACTGATGTTTTTAGTAGTCATGCCTGCTATCCAAGCAGACAAAAATTTTGAAAAGCGCGTTTAAACGCTCAAAACCGAACCTCAATTGTGAGCCATTCACGCTCATTAAAAAAAAGAGTATATGCCTAATTCGAGTTCGAATATAAAAGAAAAATTTAAAAATAACTCGTACCCATGTTAAAAGGGTGTGGATCTTCTCTTCATGCACACTCACACCCATAGAGTGCGTCATGTTCTGATTCAATGCTATGGGTCCGAAACAATATAAAGCATATATCGACTAAGTAGAACACAGACAAGATTTATTTACTTTTTATTAATATACTATCACACCTAAAGTA